ATATATATATATATATATTATATATATATTCTTATATATATATATATATAAGAATATATATATAACAGTGCATTAAATGCATATAATATAGATGCAAACATATATATATAATCTATATATATATATAGTATACACATACATACGCATAAAGAGAGACAATGTTTGTGTTGCTGTTGCAGCTATTTATTATGCTACTCTTTGCTGCTGCAAGAGCAGCAGCAAACTGTCTCCTCTTGTACAGCTGCAGCGAGAGAGCATATCTGCTGTCTCTACTTTATATTTTTATTCTAATACATGTTTAATATTTAAAATAATCAATATATAATGATACTACTGATATATATATATATACTCGTATATATAATTTGTTTATTTACTAATATATACAGAGATATATGCAGCAAACAAAGAAATTCAACTACCCTCCGATATGCATCTACTGTTTTATTTGCATGCATTAATTGTTTCTATTTGCATGCATTAATTGTTTCTATTTGCATGCATTGAATAAAAATAAATTATTTTTATTTGCATGCATTTGTTGTTTTATTTGCTTCTCTCTTTGGCTTGCCTCTGTTGCTTCTTATTGCATGCAAGAATAATATTTATTATTTAGATAGAGTAAAAGTATCTTTTGTAATTAACATAAAAGAATAACATAGTGTACATATATAATACATGATCTAATTATTATATTATGTGGATAAAATAAACAAAACATATTATTTAAATAAAAGAAATAAAATATATTATTTAAATAACAGCAAGATAATATAATATGTGAATAAAAGAATAGTATATAAGGATAAAAGAATAATAAATATATTATTTGAATAAGAGATATAAAATATTGTAATTAAATAAAGAACGTTAAATATATTATTTGAATAAAAGAATAGCATATATTATTATATTATTTAAATAAAAGAGCAGTAAATATATTATTTGAATAAAAGAAATGAAGCATATTACTTAAATAAAATAAAATATAGTATTTAAATAAAAGAATAGTATATATATAAATAAGTTGAGTAAAAGAATTAAAATATTCTATTTGAATAAACGATATATAATATTTAAATAAAAGCATAGCAAATGTATTATTTAAATAATAGAAACAAGATATAAGATGTGAATGAAAGATGTAAAACATATTAATATTTTAAATAAATGAGACGAAACATATTATATAAAATTAAAAAAATCAAGGTATTTGAATAAAATAAGTAAAACATAATATATATAAAATAAAAAACAAAGTTGTTTGAATAAAGAAAGCAAATTATATTATATATTACATGAAAAAAAATATTTGAATAAAGTAAGTAAAACAAATAATATGATAAAAATAAAAGAGCAAAGTTATTTGAATAAAGTAAGTAAAACAAATAAAATAAAATAGAACAAAAGAGCAAAGTTATTTGAATAAAGTAAGTAAAACAAATAAAATAAAACAGCAAAACAATTTGAATAAACTAAGTAAAGCAAATGATATAAAATAAAATAAAACAGCAAAACAATTTGAATAAAGTAAGTAAAACAAATAAAATAAAATAGAACAAAAGAGCAAAGTTATTTGAATAAAGTAAGTAAAACAAATAAAATAAAACAGCAAAACAATTTGAATAAAGTAAGTAGAGCAAATGATATAAAATAAAATAAAAGAGCAAAGTTATTTGAACAAAGTAAGTAAAACAAATAAAATAAAAGAGCAAAGTTATTTGAATAGAGTAAGTAAAGCAAATGATATAAAACAAAAGAAAAGAGTTAGTTAATAAGTTAGCTCGGCTCTTTCATTTTTAAGTAGAGAGGCCTCTTCGAAATATTTGGAGGTGCAGGGCCCGTGTCTGCATTCCAAATGCAAATACTTCGATCCCAGCTAGTTGAAGCAACAATACCTTTATTAAATACACTCCAGTCTAATCCTAAAACAAACTCTCTGTGGTGCTCGTAGCTTGCATGCAAACGCATGCCGTTTACTACACCTTCATATGTATTCAACTTCCTCCTGCTGTTCATATTACTGCTGCTGCTGCTGCTGCTGCTGCTGCTGCTGCTCGGGGTGCTGCTGCTCGTGATGCTGCTGGGGGTGCTGCTGGTGCTCCCGCTGCTGCTGCTACCTCCACCGCTTCCACTGCTGCTGCTCCCTCTCACGCTGCTGCTGCTGCTGCTGCTGCTGCTGCTGCTGCTGCTGCTGCTGTGTTGCTGCTGAGGAAGAGTTATATTTTCATTAATATCCCAGATGTTTACTTGCATATCATAAGAACACGTAGCAAACCTCCAAGGATGAAAAGGATGTGAAACTACACGCCTAACAGCTAGCTGATGAGCTTGAATAGAATATATACGACTAGATGCAGCAGCAGCAGCAGCAGCAGCAGGTGCAGCAGCAGCAGCAGCAGTAGCTTTGGGGGTATCGGCTTTGCGGAGATCCCATAGAGCTACTGTGCCGTCTGCTGCTCCTGTTAGAAGAAGCCAGGGCTGATGCTTCATCCAATCAACGGAAAGTGCTTCGCATAGATGTGCATGTACACCCCAAGCAGGCTGAGGTGTACATACACCTGAAGTAGGCCTCTGACGAAGATCATGTATAAGAAGCCGTCCATCAGCACCAACAGAAGCAACAAGTGCAGCATCTTGAGGTGCACTGCAGCAGAAGCAAGAAGCAGCATTTAAACTATGTCTAAGAGCTATCAAAGGAGACAGACTATGCTGTAAGGCCCACACAAAAATAAAGCTGTCTAAGCCTGCAGACAGCAGCAACTGTTTATTCATACAACTCCAATTCAGAGTTGTAATATCTCGGCTGTGTGCCTTTACTTCTTGCACAGCCTCTCCTCCATAACACCCTCCTGCTGCTGCTGCTGCTCCTGCTGCTGCTGCTGCAGTATCTGAATCCTGTAAGCGCCATACAGTTATGCTGCGCCCACAACCTCCGCTAACGAGCGTCTCTGCGTTTAGCTCTGACCAGGCTATATCATTAATTGGTTCTTTATGAGGCAGCAAAGCAACCCTTTGGGGCTGCACAACGCATGCAGCCGCTGCTTGTTCCTCTGGTGCTGCTGCTCCTGCTGCTGCAGGGGGAGGAGGAGGAGAGGGAGGTGATGGCTGCAGTTTAAATACCTCAACTGCACCTGGGCCAGCCATTCCAAAGAGATTAGCTGAAGCAACAGCAATAAGCGATACGTCGAAGGGAGAGAAGCAACAAGCCTGTCCGCAGTACTGCAGACGGCTCATCTGCACAACTCCCCCACTTGATGGCCTCATGATGCCTTATATCTCTGAATTTTCTTCTTCTTTTCAAGCCCTCTTCATCAACAGCAGCAATAAAACTAATGTTATAATGATCATATGCTCCTACACCCAACCCTGCTTCAAAGCAAAAGAAAAAGAGAAGCAGCAGCTGTGTTTGAGAGAAAGATTAAAAAAATATATCAACACCCTAATATTATATATATACATAAATATAAAATGTATACTACTTATTTAGAATACATATGCTGAGGGAGCTGCTGCACTTTGAAGCCCTGAATGAAGACCAGCAACAAACTGCAAAGTTTAAATGTTATTATTTACTGAAAATCTGTTGTTATAAACAAATAAATGTATTTATTCGTAGAAAAAAAGATAAAAGCTGTCTCTATTAAAACTCTATTCACGTCTCCCTCGCCGCCTCTGTCATCGTGAAGTGTCTATACAGCTGGTTCTTCACCCTGGTTCTGCTTTAATTTAGATGAAAATGTTGTGAATATTATTAATATTATTATTAATATTATTAATATATTAAAATTCAAAATATTATGAGGAGAAGACCCAAGAAGATTGAAGACAAATATTAAAGGAAATCCGCAGAGCGCCGTCTGTCTTCAGCAGCCCCAGCAGCCTCTGTGTATAATATTCTTCTGTTTCTTTTCTTTAGAAGAAATAATATATATTTAATGTAAATAAAATTGTTTAAGGAATTAAATGCATTTGCCTTATTCTTCATGCGTTCTTCTGCAGCGATAGATATATATATTATATATAATGAAGCGCCGAGGTGGATATACACCGCAGCAAGGCAAACTGTCTCATTCTTGAATAAACATTCAATGCATATGATGAGAGTTTATTATTATTTGTTTATACAGATTCAGCAATGTTGACAGAGACGCTCTTCTGAGGACGGCCCTCAACGGGTAGAAGATGCATTTATTTGCTCTCTATTCTTTTTTTTTTGGTTTATCTGTTACGGTTTGTAGGATGGTATAGTGAGGTCTACGTACAGATTAACATGCATATAAGGTGTCTACTGAGTCCGCAGTGTATGTTCAAGAACTGCATACAAACCCCCATCTGAAGGATGTTGATCTGCACGCTTGCATATGGGATTGCGTTGTAGTAGGGCTTCTAGAAAGGTGTGTTGCAAAGTCTAAGAGGTATCCAGCACAAGATCGGCACTTTTTTATCGGCATCTTCCTTATTAAAAGGGGAGAAATGATAGTGGTGGCTCTACCTAGGCACGGAAACGATAATGATGGGTGTATATATATATATATATATGTATATATATATATATATATATGCATATACATATATATATATACATGCATGCGTATAAATAGGCATATATATAAATCTTCCACGGCTATAATCTTTGTGAAGGCTTCTCGAGATGTTTTGCTGTGCAGGTTTATGTCACGCTCTGCAAAGGAGGTGAATATCTCATAATAATGAGAATATATATAAGGGAAGCAATGTGCAGCACAGTGCATCAACTATAGAACGCCAATTGTGCACTTGGAGTCTCTATATCAATGAAACATGGAAGGACTTCCCTTGAAAGAAGCCATTCATGACTGGCTGAGCTGCAGATACAAAACTATGCTATATAGAAGGTAAAGCCGGCGAAGATAATGGAGTACTTGCGCATCAATCAAAGAAAGAAAAGCCGCGTCAACCGCCCTAAATGACGAGGAAAAAATGAGTTTGAAAAGGACCCATGTATAGGCGCTATGAATATTGAGACTCTGAATGGCAGCTCATCTCTGATAAAGACAAAATGCAAGAACATAGGGCAGCCCGCGATTCCTACAGTCAGAAAGCCCATAGGGGGATCATCATGAGCGGTGGATTTGCTTCTTCTGTAATAAACAAGGTCGCATACTTCGAGATTACAGGCGGGTAGAAAGTGATACGAAGGTGGATTATGAAGGAATATAGTAATACACTAATGCGGGTTAACAAGAAGGAGACAGTTTCCAGCTGATCAAACAAACGAAAAAGAACAAAAATGAATAGTTCCCCCACGTAACCTGCGGCGCATAGATGGCGCTGAAAAAGACGAGTCCAGCACCTGCAGATCCGCCTCTAGTTAACTCTGTGCCAACTTAAGCTTTTCGTAATGCTCAGGAGTTGGTAGCTGCGGCTCGACTTAAATCTTCGCCAACTTAAGTTTTTCTTAATGATCAGGAGTTGTTGGCCTTCCCTCTCACAGGCTACGAAGTGGACATAATATCTGAAGGTATAAAGATGAAGTGTAATCCCCTTCTCTCTTGGTTCGCGCAGCCTGAGAGACAATGCTTCGCTGATGGCAAGCAAAAGACGAGAATCGGCAAAGCTGTAGGATTACAACGAAAGAGTAGAAGTGAAGCATTCTATCATGGTACTGGCCTTCTACTTTGGATAGCATTAGCAGGATAGCAAATACAATCCAAGACATGCGCAGGGTGACTCGCCGGGCTGTCGCCTGCATGTCCTCCAGACTACCCTTCTAAGGTCTATGCGCCTGAAAGCACCCACGAGGAATGAGAAAGCTCTATTTCCAGCTCTTCGAGATCACTTAAATCTTTTGTGGTAGAAGGGGTGAAATCAATGTCCCAAAAAGAATGATCAGGGAGGTACAAACGCAAGCCAGAGGCGCTGCAGGAAACGGCGGAGAGCGCATGCACACCTTCACAGAGAGGGAGTATGCAGCTTCTGTCTTTGCTATCATCTCAAACAGCATAGGCTGTTTTGTGCCTGGAGGCCCAAGTGAAGATAAGGATGGGTGCATAGGGAAATAGGAAGACAGCCGCGAGAGGGGCCGGAACACCGAACGCCGGGGAAGAAAAGAAGAATGACGAAGGCAACAAGGTAGATACAAAAGCACATGAATTAATATAGCCTCACTCTAGAGTAGCTTAGCTGCATGCAAGACTCAAGCACTTCGTGAAGCAACAAAAACGCCAAGTATCCATGGACAGAAAGAGAGGAGAGCACGCTTATGAAGATACGCTTGGGGCGCTTTCCTATAACCTCCGGATCTTCTTAGTCTCAATAACGATTTGCATCAGGCTATAACCTTCACTACACTACGGCCTCAAGATTTGCTTGGCCTTTCAGTGCCTGATCACAGAGTCCGAAGCCATTTGCAACCCTCATACGCAAGGACCTGCAAAGAGGCATATGCAAGCCCAAAGCAGCTTGCGCCTGCCTTGTGTCAGCGGAGTCTTTTGCAGACACTGTCTCAATAGCACTTGATAGATATAATTATAACAGACTCCTCAACGGTGCATTTTCAAAACATTGGGTGAGAGACATTGCCTTGGATGCCTCGACACCGCATGCCAAGATACGCCTAGAAAAAGAATACCAACAGTTGCATTGTGTTTCCACCTCCACGTTGCAGTTGTGCTTACTAATTTTATGCCTTTGATACTCTAGAAAAGCTACATCTTTGCGATGTAAATGAGCTAAAAGCAATCATAGAAGGCAATCGCTTTTTCTTCGCTCTGTCCAGAACTAAGATCCCTGTTGCAATTGTTGCAATTCGAAGAGCTTTATACCCTAAGCTGCAGATGGTGTGTGCAGATTCTTCACTTTGTGGCTGCGAATATTTTAGGAGTTAGGCGTTAGTTATGGCAACGGCATCTGTAGGGAAAATTTGTCGCTTCCGTTTATCTGCACTGAGATGTTCACTGAGACACGCTCTGGTGGTTAGCGGTAAGCAAATAGAAAAGAATGCTGCCGTTGGCTTGATGTGTGCATGCAGATATTTGTATTATTCAAATGCGGCCAACAGTGACACACACTAGCTGCCTGCTGAAGCTTCCTTCAGGTTCTTTTCAGAAGATGTATCAGAGAGTGTTGCAGCGTGCTGAGTCTTGGAGCTCAGCAGATTCCCCCGTATTGAATGCTAGCAGATAAGCATGCGCTTAGAAACTCTAACAGATAAGTTTTCACGTAGAAGCCTGATGGGGCTACTGCATAGTTTAGAGCGAGGAGAAGAGGGCTTTGAAATATTTTTAGAAGATATCAGGGAGAGAGACTCGCATTAGCCTTCGGCTTGTTCGTAGATGGAGACACTCAGCTTTACTTGTGATTCTTTTGCCAGCCTTATGTGCTTTTCTTTTTACACTGACGTACGCATAATATGATTGTGCAACGGCCACAGGAGAGCATTTTAAGCATGCTTGTACAGCAGGGCTGAGCGTGCTGAGGAAAACAGAATAAAAGAATAGCAGCATCTTCCGAAGCCTACATCTTATAGGCACATTATTATTATTATTAGTCAGAAGAGAGAAGTATAGAAGCAGAGGAGAAGGTTAATAGTTTTATTTCGGAATGAAGCAGCGGGAATAGCGACGAGATAACAACTTGGCCTTTGGAGAGGTGTAAGCATCTACCCCTATTGATGTACCCTCACTTATTTTGTTTTAAGAAGAATAAACGAATTTATTCAAAAGGTTTTCTTCTTGTGCAGACAGAAGCATCTGTTCTGTCTACTTAGGCGCGAGGCTGCCGTTGCAGCTACGTGCAGCAGAGGGCGTATGCGATCTCTATCTCGTCGTCTGCGTTTAATCACGTTTCATTTTCAAAGAAAAAGGTTTTTATTTGCAATTTCAATTGAAACAAAGGAGATAAAGAGGCGCTTCTGCTGCTCGCGCTAAACCTGCAGCAGATCGCAGACGCAGCCTGAGCCGCAGCAGCCCGGGTCTAACCCCCGACGGCGGCGTTTGAATTTTCGCACCATCTTGTGGATAATAATGGAATACTAGTTTTTTAATTTATTCCGAATTCAATGAATTCAAAATTTTCTCTTCAATAGACCCTCGGCAGCTCCGCTCTGCATGTTAGCAATCGCTGGGCCGCCACAGCGGCGAGGCAGGTCCAGCCAGCGGCAGCCTACAGCTTGCTGCTCTCCCTAGAGCTAAAAAAAGGTTTTTTCTCTTTATTTCAATTATTTAATCTTTTGTCTTCCATATTTTGACCCCAAAGTCGATGTTCCAAGGGCTAGAGGGCCCCACCCTCCCCCTTGGCTTGCCGCTGCGCACAATCGATGCTCGCTGCAGCAGCAGAACAGCAGCTACGATGTTCTCCGAGGCTTTCCTTTGCCTCAGAGATGACTGAAAGAGAACAGCAAAGGGTACCGACAGCGTTGCAGGGGCCCCTACAGGGGCCCCCTGCTCTCTCTGCTGCTGAAACCGATGCTGCAGCACATGTCGGCAGCGGACTCACAGAAGCTCAGTCAGCACACGAGCCAGTGGTCTTAAACACAGCTCCATTTGGAGAATGGATTTCGTTTAGAGGGGCAAAAACCAATAGCAGCAGCAGCTGCTGCAGCAACAGCAGCACAAGCAGCTGCAGCAACAGCAGCAGCAGCAGCAGTAGCAGCAGTAGCAGCAACAGTAGCAGCAGCAACAGTAGTGGCAGCAGCAGCAGTAGTAGTAGAAGCAACAACAACACCGCCTGCATGGTGCACCAAGTGCCTGCACGGCGATGCAAAAGTGCTGCACTTTACCTCCACGATCTCCCATGTGTGCAGCAGCAGCAGCAGCAGCAGCAGCAGGACCGAGGGGTCCGAAAATGTGACAAGCTGAACCCTCATGCTTCTGCACCTGCTGCTGCTGTCTCTGCTGCTGTTGACTCTGCTGCTGGAGCCGCCACGAGAACAGTTGGGCTTTCCAGAGGCTTTGTGGAATATAGCAGCAGCCGCAACAGCAGCAGCAGCAACGGCAACAGCAACAACAGCAACAACAACAGCAGCAGCAACATCAGCAGCACAACAAGCAACCTGCAGCTAGAGAGCCCTGCTGCCTCTTCAGCAGCACCTCGTCAGGGATGCGCACGGCCGATGCCAGTGCTGCGGCAACAGCCGCAGCTCCTTTGCCTCTCAGAAACAGCAGCAGCAGCAGCTGCCGCTGCAGCAGCAGCAGGTGCAGATGTCACCGCCGCAGCTGCAAGGCCGTGGAGACAGAAAGAAACACGCTCCTCCTACTCCTACCCAGCGGCAGCAGCAGCAGCAGCAGCAAACGAAGAGGCAACGGGTCCCGTCAACTCTGGGCCTATGAATGGATTCGCAGGTGCTGCTGCATTCGCACGCCATGTTATTCCTTTGAGGGTGAAGGCCCCATCAGCAGCACAGCCAGAAGCAGCAGCAGCAGCAGCATCAGGGTCTAGAGGCCGCTCTTTTGCTTCATTCAGCAGCTCTGCATTGGGTGGAGTATCGTCGTTAGCTAGACACGCCAGCAGCAAGGCGCCTCTTCTGCTGCAGAGCAGCAAAAGCATTGCAGCTGCGGCAGCAAAGAAAGCTGCCGCAGTGGCAGCAGCAGCAGCAGCAGCTGCTGCTGCTGCTGCTGCAGTTGTTGGGGAAGCACCTGTGGAAGAGCCTCGCACGCACGCAGAAGTACCCCGCGGGCGCTGCAGCAGGAGCAGCAGCAGAAGCAGCAGCAGCAGCAGCAGGAGTAGCAGCAACAGCAGCAGCAGCAGGAGCAGCAGTAACGAATGCAGCAGCCGCATGGGCCGCGGTTCTGCTGCTGAGAATTCATTCTCAGAGCTGTTCGCTGCTACGCCTATTTCCTGTATATCATCGTTGAATCCGCTATCTCCCACAGCGTCAGCGGCATCATCATCAGCAGCATCATCATCGTCAGCAGCAGCAGCAGCAGCTGGTGCTGCTGTCCCTGTCTCCCCGTTCCAATTTGCTGCTGTTGCTGCGCATGGCGCCTCTCGCCCTCTATTTTCTTCTTCTGCTGCTGGAAATCGAACCCGTACGGGCTCCATTGCAGGGTCTGACGTAGAGGACCTTGGGCTGCGGCTGCCTCCTTCTCCAAGGAGCTTGAGGCTCAGTGAGAGCATGAAGCAGCGAGCTAGTGCTGCTGCGGCTGCTGCTGCTGCTATTGCTGCACCTTCTGCTCCTTCTGCTGACATGTACGGGGATGGGCCTTTCGCCTCTTCTGCTGCTGCTGCTGCTCCTCGAAGATCTTCGCTAACGGATGCACCGCTGCAGCTCGCGCAGCCGCAGGCGCAGCAGCAGAAGCAGCAACAGCAGCAGCAGCAACGGACGCTGGCTGAGATGCTGCCGGTGATATCTTCTCCTTCTTACGCCTTTCTTGAGGCGCAGAGTCTCGGCGCTCTTCTTTCTCTTCCCTCTCCGAGTGAAACAACTCTCAAAGTAGGTCCACCCTAAGAGCTCACAAACGCTTGCTGCTGGTGTTGCTGCTGCTGTTGCTGCTGCCGATGTGCTGCTGCTGATTTGCCGCTGTTCCTGTGGCTGCGCTGCTTATGTTGCTTCGTTGCTGCTGCGCGCTTGAAGCAGCAATATTCTCTGTCTGCTTTTTGATGCCTGTGGATCTGGAGCAGCAGCAGTATCACTGATGCCGCCTTCAGCAGTGCTGAGGCAGCTACAGCAGCAGCAGCAGCAGAATCCTATAACATCATACATCTTTATTGCATGCGTTTTGTTTGTTTGTTAGATGCGGGTGTGGCGGTTTAAGGGTTTGCTGCCTCCGCGCTGGCTAGAGGAGGATTTGCTGCTGCATCAAAACTTGCTGCTGTTCTGCAGCAGCACGGAGCCGCTAGAAGTGTCTTTGTTAGTACCTCTTGCTTCTATTGCCTCTGCCTGGGCTGTAGATGGCAGGGGAAAGATATCTGCTGCTGCTGCTTGTAAAGGAAAGGCGCCCTATCGCATGAAGCTCGTGGCCTCAGCAGCAGCAGCAGCAGCAGCAGCAAACCCACAGGGAGGAGGGTCAACGAAAAAGCATAAGGCAGCCAGAACTATTCTCTTCGGATTACAGAGCGCAACAGAAAGAGATGCGCTCCTCAAACACATCTTGTACTTGGCAGACAAATGGAGGTGAGAGGCACACCAGCAGCAGCAACAGCAGCAACAGCAACAGCCGCAGCAGCAGCAGCAGGATTAGGAGTAGTACTACTATTAGTATTAGCGGTATTGTAGAGTCAAGAGCAGCAGCAGCCTAGGCCCTAGCAGCAGATATAGGTGCATCGGCTTCAGCAACACGAGGCAGCAGCATTGTGAGCAACAGCAACAGCAGCAACAGCAGCAACAGCAGCAGCAGCCCTGTTAGTCCTAGTGTATCTCCGTTGCATTGGTTTATTAGATCAATTTGAATATTTGAAAAAGACAAATGCAAGAACAGAGACGATTAAAGATTGCTGTTTTGCTGCTGCGCAGGTCCCGCCCTTCAGTGCCGGACTTCCTATATCGGCCTCCTTGTCAGCAGCAGCTGCTGCTGCTGCATCAGCAGCTGCATGCAGCAACGCGGAGTTTGCTGCTGCTGCAGGTGGCTGCAGTGGTGAAGGAAGCCTTGAGACGTTGGGCCCGCGAGTTCTTAGGGAAGCTGAGAGCGATAGCAGCAGCAGATTCTGCTGCAACGAAGCAGCAAATAGCACAGAGATGCCGCGGAGCTTTGCTGCTACAGCAATGGGTTAGGCTTAGGAGGCGGGAGGACTCGGGGTGGGCTATGCAGCGGCTGCGAATGCATGCGCTGCTGCAGCAGCAGCAGCAGCAGACAGCAGCAGTTGTTGCTGCTATGGCGTCAGGGCACTTGGAGCTCGCCTCAAATCACCTGCAAGTCGCGCAGCAGCAACTCAAGTATGCTCTTAACCGTCTCTTTGAGAGGCGGCTGCATGCAGCCTTCTTGAAGTTACGTATGCTGCGCATTGTTAAGACAGCGCAGCAGCAGACTGAGCAGGGAAGAGCAGCACAGCTTTGCTGGTGCATGCAGAAGCAGCAAAACAAAGTGCTTCATGGGGCCTTTGTTCACTTACGAAGATTCCTGCTGCAGCGACAGCAGCAGCAACGAGCGCTGCAGCAGCTGCTGCAGCACATGCGCCTGCGGCGCCTCAAGTGGGGATGGCAGCGGCTGGTATGGTTTGCAGCAGCTAGCCATCTATCTAACCAAGCAAAAAGACAGCAAGCTATTTTCCTTGTCTCCCTCTGCATCCGCGCTCGCATGCGCAGCTCGCTGAGGCAGCTTCAACGCCACGCTGCAGCAGCAAACACTCAGGAGAAACTCCGCATCTGCAGCAACATGCAGCAAGTGAGCAGCTAGCTAGTGGCTAGCTAGCCATCTAGCTGTACATGCAGCCCTTGCAGCACATAAGCGACAGAAAAAAGAAGGCAGGCGGCTGCAGCTAGCTAGCTAGCTAGCTAGCTAGCTAGCTAGCTATCTAGGTATCTGGGTAGCTAAGCTAAGGCTTTCTGGTGAGTATATGAGTGCATGCGATGTGCAGGTGAACGAACGGCTGCTGGTGTCGATGCGACAAGTGCCGCAGCAGCGAGCAGTAATGCTGCTGGCTGCTGCGCTGCAGCAGATGCTGCATGCAAGGCTCTCGTGGGCCGTACACAGGTGGGCAGCAGCAATCAGGGATTGCAAGCAGCGCGCAAGAGCAGCGCTGCTGCTGCTGCTGCTGCTGCAAGTGAAGCGGCATCGCCTCATGTCTGCCGCCTTCAGCTGCCTCCAGAGACACGTCCAAGACGATCGCGAATTGTGCAGACAAAAGGCAAGAGCTTAGGGTTTAGGGTTTAGGGTTTAGGGTGTAGGGCTTGGCATTTAAGGTTTAGGGTATCCCAGGATCCTCTCTCCCTTCAGCAGCAGTCTTGTGGACGCGCCTTAGCGTCTGCCGCTGCTGCTTCTTATGCTGCTGCTGCTGCTACTGCTGCTGCTGCTACTGCTGCTACTGCCACGGCTGCTACTGATATTGCTGCTTCTGCTGGTGGTGGTGTGTGCTTCAGATGAGAGCTGCGTGGCTGCTTGGTTTGCTTTTAAAGGAGCAGCAGTTGCAACGCTTACGATTCGCGTGGCTCTGCATGCAGCGGCCTCAGCCTGAAGGCAGCAGCAAAAAAGCAGCGCGCCAATTGGCATGCGTCATAGAGAAGGCTCAGTAGGTCTTTTCTTGCATTTGTGTCTTGCAGCTAGATTGCTTCTCTAAAAGTAATTGAATAATATAGTATATACTTACAAAGCAAGACAGTATTAATCCAAGAACAAACCGAAAGAAACAACAGAAAGCACATAGTGCTCAAGGAAAATGCAGCTTTACTCATTCGTGCTGCTGTGACTGCTGCTGCTGTTGCTGCTGCTGCTCTTCCTGCTGCTGTTGTTGCTGCTGCTGCTGCAGGTTCCGCCAAGTTCGCGACGCCTTCGCGAAGCTCCTGCAGCTGCAGATCACAGGCCAGACGATGCGGTGAGGTCCCTTGGGTGGCTTTTTCGTTTGTGTAACAGAGGGCTTTTGCCTAAACAAAATAAAGAATTTAGTGCTGCTAAGTGTCTATTCCTGTGATACTCAGCGCTGCTGCTGCTGCTGCTTGCTGCCGCTTGCTGCCTGATGCAGCTGTAGCTGCAGGTGTTGCTGCGGGGGCTGCTGCAGTATACAACATTTTGTATATTTTGTTGAGTTGTGCTGCTCCCTGATGTCTTTGCAATGCAGATCCTTCCTAAGGCTGCAGATGCTGCTGCAGCTGGGGACGCGGCTGAGATTACAGATTCTAAAGCAGCAGGCTTTGGGCTTCTCTGCCTTGCGGTCTCACGCTGCTGCACTTGCTGCATGCAGTGTAACAGCTGCAGCAGCAGCAGCAGAAGCAGCGGCAGCCGCTGGTGCTTCAGCAACGCAGCAATCCGTCTGTACGGGCCCCAGCGCTTTCGAAGGGGGCTTACCTTGCAGGGTCTCAGCAGCAGCAGCAGCAGCAGCATCCGCTAGGCTGCAGGAGCTGCTAGACGTCTCCACCGACTTAATTGGAAGCCACCAGGAACGCACTTTGAGTCCTGAGGCATCTTCATACGACAAGCCATTCATATATCTGCCTCCACCTATTGTTTCTCGCGGAGGCGCAGCAGCAGCTGCAGCTGCAGCTGCTGCTGCCGCTGCCACTTCAGGTGTAGCGGATATGTACGGATTGCGCTCATCCCCCACTTCGCTGCAGAGCCACGAGAAGCGCGAGGATGTTAAAGGTTTTCTACAGCAGCAACAGCAGCAGCAGCAGCAGCAACAGCAGCAGCAGCAGCAGCCAACGCTACTGCAGCAAAGTTCATCATCTGGGCCCCGCGTTGGGTACGGAGTGGCGGCGAGCAGGGAATGTCGTGCTGATGAAGGAATGAATAGCTTTTGTTTAAATTCATCTCCTGTATCTCCTGTTTCTTTGCCGCTTGGCTTCAGCAGCAGCAGCGCGCACAACAGCCCCAGCCGCACCCCCAAGACCCGCCTAGTGCAGCCGTCGCTTATCTTGACGCAGGACCGCAGCTGCAGCAGCAGCAGCAACAACAACAACAACAACAACAACAGCAGCAACGACTTCTTTATCAGCTCAAAAGTCTCAGACTTAACGGATTACGCTGCACACGAAGCAGGTGAGTGCAGCAACCGGCATAATGCCTCGTGGCTGCCCCAATGGCTTTAAGAAAACCGCCGCTGCTGCTCTTGTTGCTGCTGCTACTGCTGCTGATGCTACTGCTGATGCTGCTGCTGCAGAGATGGACGCACTTGTTCAGAGGCTGCAGCAGGCAGAGCATTCCCTTCAGCATGACTTGGGTCCTGCAGCAGCTACTGCTTTCTCCCCACCTCCTTCTGGGGGGCAGTGGGCGCAGCAGCAGCCAAGACCTAATGCTGTGCATGCCGTGCGAAGCCGACCACCTGCAGCAGCATCTGCTGCTGCTGGTGCTGCTGCTGTCAATACGCATGAAGAGGTGCTTCTTTCTGCGGGTTCTAGTGGAGGCCCTCAAGTGCCTTGGTATACCTCCTGCCCCACAGCAGTAGATGAGCCCCTCTCTCCATACACCCCTCCCTACCGCGGCTGCTGTACAATGGCGTTTCCACCTCAAGAATAATATAATCCTTTTGTCTCTTTAGTCTCTTCATTTGAGACCTAAACTGAACGTTTAGAGTTCATGATTTCAGTTCTGCATGCCATCAGCAAACAACAACAAAAACAACAATAGCAATAACAACAACAACAATAATAATAATAATAGTAAAAAAATAATAACAATAACAATAGTAACAGTAATAATAATAATAATAATATCCGCTTCCTAAAGCATAGTCTCATTAATATACGCAGCAGAAGAACTGCTGCACTTGTGGGGCTTCTCTTCCCACCCTCCAGCTTAAATGCGCCCACTAATCAGTTACTGTTTGGAGTTTAGGTGTGTTTGTGTGTAGCCGCGCATCCTCTCCATCCTCTCGCCGCCAGCCCCTCCACTCACACTATCTATATACATGCTGATATATATAGATATTCAACGAAGTATATTATATATATATGCATATATATATGCATCTGTAAACATATGTATGCATGTATACACGCATGTACCTTCATGCATTATACATACTTCGTTGGACTATCGATATTCCCATCTGGGGCAGATGGGAGCAGCGAACGACGCGGCAGAGAAATTTAGAGAAATTTATTTGCATCTCTAAGGGGTTTTTGTGTATAAAATGCATCTGCAGAGGCTCAGCTGTACATGCATATATATATAGTTATAGATATGTACACATATATATAGTGTATATTGTATTATACTTCATGAGAAAGCACCTAATTAGCGAGCATATGCATTGCCTTTAAAGCTTTAACATCTGTCCGAAATAAAATACAAGATACCCTGCTGCTGTTGCAGCTGCTGCTGCTGTTGTTACTGCACCTGCTGCTGCAGCTGCTGTTGCAGCTGCTGCTGCAGCTGCAGGAAAAGCACCCTCCCCCTTTCATTTCGAAAGGAGGTGAGTGGGAGTTGTGGGCGGTGTACGTTCACCCCAGTGTACAGCGGCCCCACAGAAGCTATCTCGTAGCGACTAGAAGGCAGAGGCTTTTGCTGTTTGCTGCTGTTCATCTGCAGCAGGAGCAGCGTCCAAGAACAGAGCAGCTCATCACAAATACCGCAGTAAGAGCTCTCATCGCCCATTGTGAGATCCCTTGCATTGGAGTGTACGCACACCTAAACAGCAGCAATTCATATCTTCTGTTTTTTCTTTGGCCGCTATCCGTAGCGACTGCATCCCCGCAAAGAAGAACTTGAATCGTCATTGAATTAAATAATAAAACTTCATTTCAATTGTAGCCTTTTAATTTATTATTCGTAGTTCGGGCAGCAGGTCTGCGGCAAACTCGCTAGCTAACGGAGAATCCGACGCACACAGCTGCTGCTACTGCTGTGGCTGCTGCTGATGCAGCTGCTGTGTCTCGTATTACTGCTATTCCTCCCGCTCCTCTTGTTGCTACTGCTGTTGCCTCTTCTGGTTCCGGTGCTTTCTTGCTGCAGCGTCTCCTGTTGCCGCCACTTCCCCTGCTGCGTCTGTTGCTGGTGGTGTTGCTTTCTACTGCTGCATCTGCTGTTGCTGCTGCTTCTCCTGGTGCTTTTCCTGTTGGTTCTTCTTCTTCTGCTGCTGCAGCTGCATTTGTGTTGCTTCTTGCATGGTAGTTTTAAGGTTGCTGAGCCCCATGCCTGTGAGCCGGATGCTGCGCTTATAGGCTTTGTTACAGAAGGTTATTTTCATTGTCTGAGTGCTGGGCCCGAGGTGTTTAGGGGTAAATACAACGTGTAGTTTGAATTGCTGCTGAGGCAGCAGCAGCCCCTTGGTAGGTCTGCAACGGAAGGGGTGACGCGCGTCTACATGAAAATCCAGCTGCTTCGTCTTGCTGCAGTTCAACAGCAGCAGAACCTGCTGCTGCTCCTCACCCACAACGCAGCCAGGGAAATTAAGGGCCCCAGGGGAGATCTCAAGCCGGGGCAGCCGCAGCTCAAAGCGTCCTGCAAGCAACTGATGGTGAAGAGAAGGTAGGCTGAGGAGCTGCGAAGAAGAGCCTCCCCCGTTGCGTGTACACCCCACAACCACAGAATCCGAGACACCGACAGACCCGCCACATGCGCTGCTGCTACTGCTGCTGCTGCCGTTGCCGCTGATGCTGCTTGCTCGTCTCTGCGGAGATAGCGTCCGTGGGGGCCCTGCACCAGTTTGCGGGTCGTTGACTCCTGAGTAGCAGCAGCAGCAGCAGCGGGAGTCAGCGGGGCAGCAGCAGCAGGAGGAAGAAGAGCAGGAGTCTGCACTGCAGCTCAGAAAGGAGGGAGGCGAGCGTGTGCATGCTTTCTTGTTATTTTCGTTTGCTTTTCCTGCTGCGTTTGCTTCTGCAACGATGGCGGTGCGGAGCAGCTGCAGCAGGGAAGCAAAGACACACGGCGCGGTGCCTCTGTCTTGCTTTATGCTGTTGCTGCTGCTGCTGTCTCCTCTTCCTCCTCTTACACTCCGTCGAGACCCCCCCAAGCCGCTAGTGGCCCCTGCAGTCTCTGGGCGGAGACGCGCCACCACTGGCAGTCCTTGAGGCCCCTTTGATTTGCTGAGAGACAACCTCGCTGTTAGAGGGCTTCTTTGTTCATTGAGGGAGGCCTTTGGAGTGTCTCCTTCTGCTGTTGCAGGCAAGGGGCCCATCACAGGCACTCCCAATCTTTCGCCGTCACTGCCGTTGCAGCAGCTGCTGCTGTTCTTGTTGCCGCTGCTGCTGCCGCAGCCGCTGCTGCTGCTGCTGCAGGGGGACTGGGGCTTTGGTGAGGCGTAGTTAGTGTGGCAGAGGGGAGCTTCAAGCCGTGCAACGGAAACTAAGACGTGGAGGTGGAAGGCCATTGGCGTTTGTACTTCGTTTAAATTTTCTAAATGTTGAAACCCAAAGCGAAGTTCGCACGGCTCACTCCGCAGCTTCAGCTGCACTGCAGCAGAGCCGTGGGGGGGCAGCAGCAGCGCAGAAGGCGTCACCTCAATAGCACAGAAGGGGCCCCCCAGACTCTCCTCCTTGGGGCCCCATGGGGCCCCAATAGCCCCCAAAACAACTGAAGGGCTAGACAGGCGGCGACACAGCGCCAGCTGTACAGGCAAAGTGGTGGAGGGGAGGGAACGCTGTTGGGGAGACGACAGGTCAAGCCGATCCCGATCCGGCAACAACGCCAAAGGACCCCACAAAGACACAGGCTTCTCTTTCCAGCTGGCAACTGATGATGCAGAAGCAGCAGCAGCAACTGAAGCAGCAGGAGCAGCAGCACCTTCAGCACTAGCAACAGCGCCAACAGTACCCGAAGCACCATCTGCAGAACCAGCAGGAACAGCAGCAGCAGCAGCAGCAGCAGGAGACTTTACACTGGCCCTCGAGGCGCGGTGAGAAGACGCCGACCGCCGCCGCTTCTGGTGAGGCGCCGTGGCAGTGGGCCGGGGCACTGGTTGCATGTCAGTTAGATGGGGGGTTGAGGAAGAAGCTGTCTGCCCTCGGAGCGTTTCCTGCTGCTGCTGCTGCTGCTGCTGCTGCTGCAGCGCCTGTCGGCGTGGTGTTCGTGTCGGGCTCCGTCGGGCTTCCTTTGAAGCGTCCTTCGGAGCCTCTAAGGGTTGCAATGTCGAAGAGGATGAGGCGGCATTTGCCTTTGCATTTGCGTTGCGGTGTACTCCTTTCCTGTGAAGTACTCGCGAAGGCCGCCCCCCACGCCTGGGCTGATTGCCTCTTTGAAAATTGTTGCAGTCTGCTGCTACGGGGGGTGCGGCGGGCTGCTCTGCCGGTGGATGTGGGGCCTCCAGGGGGGCCTCCTGTAAAGACGGGGTGGTAAACTGCTGCAGCAGGGCTTCCCAGGGAGTGTCTCGGGGGCCCCCACCTCTGAAAGACTCGGGCGCGTCAAAATCTTCTGAGTCAGACGAAAAAACCTGTCGAGCAGCAAGTGAAGGGGCCGCCTCCCCTCTTGCCTCTGTATGGGTTCCATCTGGCGACGAGGCTGGGTTTGCTGCTTGTTCTGGCTGCTCCCGGAACTGCAGCTGCTGCAGCTGCAGCTGCGGAAGCAGCAGCTGCTGTTGTTGCTGCTGCGTGGTGGAGCAGCTAGGGGCGGTGGGGATTATGCGGGTGCTACGACGGGGCGTTGCTGCTGTGCTGAGTCGGCGTTGAGTTGTCGCCGCTTCTTTTGTGCTTTTAGGATTGCTTTCTGATGCAGCGCATGCAGTGCTGCTGCTGCTGCTGCTGCCGTTGCTGAGGCGTAGGGCTGCGTTGCTTTCTCGGGGTGAAGACGAGCGCAACGAAGGCGGAAGGGCAAGGGGTTCGAGGTGTAGCGCCTCTTCTTGGAGCTCCTTAGGAACTCTGCTTGAGGTTAGCTGCAGGGGGGTAGGCGGGGATTTCGGAGGCCCTGGGCCTGCTGCTGCGAAGCAGGAGAGACTGGCCTGAGGCACGAGGAAGCTCATGGCGAGAGGGAGAGCCCCCAAGTTGTTTGCATGCACCGTCAGGCTGCGTTCTTCTCCGTGAAAGACAGCCCCAAAGTCGATACCCTGCAACTCTGAACCCTCTACTGTGAATGCCCAACGAGGGGTGACGCAAGTCGCATGCAGCTGCAGCTGGGCCTCCACTTTCGGTGGAGGCCCCGACCACTGCACAGTCTGCGTCTCGGGGGGCCCCTTGCTCTTGGCAAAAATCCTCTCAGCTTCCCGCTGCTTACACGCAGTGCCCCGGGGGCGGGGGGCCCCCACAGGCCTCTTGCGCTGCCACCCACCAGGCGATACGAGACTGCATCGAGGAGAAGAAGGGGCTTTCAGGGCTCGTTTACAGACGAGCAGCAGAGGGAGGTTAACCTCTCCTGGGGTGTCTGCCTTGAGGTGCACGGCGATGCAGCCGACTTCTGCGGGCTCCAAGACAAGCTGCTGCGGGTGAAAGGAAAGCTGCAGCAGCTGCTGCTTAAGCAAGGTCTTGAGTGAAAGAGAGGCGCCTTGGGCAATTTCAACGTGCACCTTCACGCTGTAAGGACTCGTGTTCGTTATCGGCAGGTGCTGCTGTTGCTGCACTCCCGGAGGAACTGGCGAGAACTGCAGCAAAGAAGGACAAGTAAAACTCAGCAGCGGAGCCCTCCCCTCAACAGGGATTTCCACCTCTCGTCCTCCTGGGCCAACCACCCTCAGCGCCTGTTCAACAGAGGGACCCAAAAGAGGCGGGGCCCCCACGTTTACGCGCAGGGAAAGCCCGGGGGCCAACAAAGGACAAATGATTGGGTCCGGTGAAAGGTGAAGGCCCGTGCCGATCTGAAGGTCTCCTTGATGCCTGTTCAAGACGCGCACCGGCTGCGGTCTCGTGCCTTTGTTCAAAATCGTTAGGGGAATTCGGCGGCGAGATAAAGGAGATAAGTCGCGAAACAATATATGACGGGGTTGGGGCTCCAAGTCCCAAGGAGGCAGTGCATCGCATTCACTTCTTTCGTTTTTAGTCGACACTGAGGTGCTGCAAGTGCTGTAGCAGGCCTGTGCAGGCCCATGGGCAGTACCTTTCTCGCCCAAGTTCCGTGGCTTTTGCTTTAGCCGGAGAGGCGGAGTGAGCCCCAGGTTGCGGGGACCCGCAGAGGTTCCTGCAGCGGTCTCGGTGGCTGTTGCTCTCATGCTGCTGCAGGAGCAAGCAGGCTAAACCTGTTGGAAGGCCAACCCCACACTTACAAAGAGGCAGCTGCAACTCTCATGAAACGCCCATTGGACTGCACTGGAACTCAGGATTTAGTTTGTAACAGCTACGGTTCGGAAGTTCTAAACATGGATACTCGCAAGCAAATCGAGATGGACGAGTAGGCGGGCAACAGGCAGCAATAGGGCTTGCAATATTCGCCTCGTACCTCTCAATATGTTTCACCTGCTATGAAAATGCGTGAGAATTTGAATTTCAATTGCAGTAAGGAGTTTACTACCCGCTGCGGGCTCTTGCTCCTGTATCGCTAATGAGGCAGGGGTCCTCGAGTGACCTTGAGAGTTGGCCGCAGCCGTCGCCAGCGATATTTACCGGGCTTGCAGCAGCTGAACGCCAACCTTTTCAAATTAAAACTCGAAAAAGATTCGTAAAAGAATATTTGAGATAAGGAAAAAGGAGAAAAGGGGAATACACGCGCATGCGAACGGGCTCGACCGAGCACAAGAGTACTGTCATGCTGAACTTGGGGCTGGATTTTTCATCCTTGTCGTCATTTCGAGTCCTTTACAGCCAGTGGAATTACTACTTCGGTTTATTATTCTTAAATAGTTGGTTTAGATGTATTACCAGGGGCCCTTCTCTCGTCGCTAGACCGGGTGCTACCTGTCAATTGCATATTTCACAGAATGCGTCTGTGAAGCCTGGAGGTTGAAGGCTTCGACTGCTCAGTTGTTATAAAATATAGCAGTCGAGAGTATAAAAGAGGATATTTGTTCTCGTCTGAAAAGCTTTTAGATTCGGCGACGACGACGTACCTGACCAGATCTGGCACACATCCTGAAAAGTTTACAAGGTCGAAACGCCTCCGGAAACCCAAATGCATATTTAAAGGGAATTTTAAAGTGAAAGTATGATCTGGGCTTTCTTTCTAACACCTCAGATCCATAGGTTCGGCCTCCATTCTTGAGGAAGGTGGTTGCCGCACGATGAAGTGGCAGTGTGCAGTCCGTCATACCCACGTCACGTTCAACACTGTCTGCCCACTAAAAAGTCAAAATCTGCGGAAATACTGTGCAGAAAAAGAACTGCAGAAGATAGGCGAGTAGTATACGGGTCAATTTAAAATACACTGGATGAAGTAAGGCAGTTATCTGCAATCCCAAGGGATATGCAAGGAGGAAATTCACCTAGTGGGAAGCCTTTGTATGAAAAATCAGAGGCCAGCAACTCGCGAAGCCACTGCTTCCTGCATGCAAGTGTGACAGGTGGTGTAACAAACCGATAGAAACTGCAGTCTCAAGAGAGCGGGCTGCAGACGTCTACACCGCATGCACCCCCCTTAACTGTTTAGGTGCATTCGAGGGAGCATGGAAGATAACGCTAAACACTGTATACACTGTGAATGGTATTTTGGCTCCCTCTATAGCTAAACTGATCTACAAGTGGCGGCATAGCATCCCCAATACAACGCATATTCAAATAACTTTACTTTATATTATTATTGGTGCATTGCTATGTAATTGAGAGGAGTTATTGTTAAGATATTCAAATGCCACCTATTTACGCCAAAAGTGAAAACACAAGCCATGCTGGAGCAGGAGGGTGGGGTGCAATGCTAAACAAGGAGATCATTTGAGTTTCAAGCCAATTGAAGGGGCGTCCACCGCAACGCAGATCGTGAATGGCGCTGAATACACCTCACAAGCCATTGAAACCAGCCGAAGACTGACTGTTCCTTCTTGCCTTGAACATTGTTATTTTGTATGCGTAGCTCCAGAAAACGCACACAATGTATTTTATACATCCTAATCCTGACGCATGCAAGACTTCCAACGAGTCCACGCACTTCGCGCATCAAATGCATTCGATGAATCCAGTTCATGCCAATCAATGTATCCAATATTTTTGATGCGTACAATGCATTAAATACTTTGGTGTTTAAATAATTGAAAGCAGTGAAGGAGGTGTAGTGGATGAGAGCATAGGAATGATTTGCCTCCATGCGATGCGCATTCACTATCAGTATAACACTAATTAGTTTTAATAAGCATATGTGAGTGAGGGAACCACAAGTGGTAGAGCAAAACAATAGTAGCCGCAACGATGAAAATCAGTTGTGACACAAGGCAAGTAAAGCGCGTGTAGGAAGGTTAAGTAGTTGTATTGTGTCCGTTAGAAAAGTAGTTGTGAAATAAGCAAGGATTTCGTATGGAGACGAAGGCAGCTCCAATATATAACGATTATGCAAACAAAAGCGGGTCAGTATACTGCAGAACGAATTTGTGCAGAGAAGCAAGTGGAAGCGAAGCAGGAAGCAGTGTATCGAAACTTCCACTAGTGTATTCTGCTCGTATTCTTCCCCTTCCCCTACATTTCTGCCTTACTTCCTCTCCAAAGTGAGAACAGTATATTTTCACCACCTGAGGAGAATAAAAAGTGCTGTGAACCACCTTGCACAAAAGCTGCTCTCTTATGCTCGTTTGTCCGCGCCCCCGTGATCTTCCCATTATCTCACAACAACAATCATGGCGCATATGCACTCAATATGATTAACCTAGCCTGTTGAGGGTTTCGTTGCCGTTAAACGATTCTTCTACCTCGACGCTGGGGCTTAGCACGGCCTGCCGACAGTGGGCACATTCGTATCTACTGAAGCGTACGCTGACTACTACGGGTCAAGGAACCGTTCAACAATTGTCTACGTTGTTACTGTTTGCATCGGAAAGGAGGGTAGGTACGCCTGCGCCTTTGGCTGTCTTGCAACAGTAGTTACAGCAAGGGGTGCAACATCTTTGAACAGGTCGACTCTGCTCGCCAGATGCTTGGCGCAAGATGCTGCAGCAGGTAATGCTCGGGTCAACCAAATGGTGACTTAGGTGGCCCGGTTATTCGTACTTCCTAGAGTGTACCCACCAGCCAAGGAACATGTGCTCACTTTTCCGGAATGTCTGCAATTGAAGCCAAGGAACACTCTTGACCCAGGACAGTTTTAGAGTCCTTCAATTCGCAAGCGTATCTGGAAGGATACCATAATGGATATCACGGTGAATTTGGCGTGATCCAGAGACTGTGATAGCATATACGTTATTGTGGATAGACTCGGAAACTTTGTATACTGACGGCGCATTCTGTTGGAATTCAGAGAGCAGAGGGAGCTTCCCCATCATCCACTATTCACGCCCGAAAGCCTCAGGTTATACCTAAAGTCACCATTATTGAGAAAGATTCGACGCCAAATAGCTCATAGCTCATTATGGAGCAAATTCACGGCGCCGAGTCATATGGGTCATAGCATACCAACCGCGGACCAGTCTGCGGCAGAAGTTTGAACGGAACTGCCCGCCCTTATGCTTGTGCAGTAATGGTGACTCTACGTCCAGAACAAGCCACATCAATTCAAATGAATTGATGCGGCGTAATTAGCTCCCTTGTCTGGAATGGGTTAATAGTACAACAGCTCACTCTTCTATCCGTTGTGCTCCAGGTTCCGTTGTTTACACGGAAACACTGTCATTTTGCCCGATGCTGGGCCTATGTGTTGGCAACCATCCCCGTACGCCCGCTTCTGCAGAGTTCCGTGTAAAGCTGGCAACAGCGCGGGAATGCACAAAAAAAACACAAGAAAGCTGAGCAAGAAATTACGAAAGACGACGGTCAGCCGTCACGTCTCGGCGCATGCAAATAAGCTTTAGTGGATGCGAACGCGCTTCAGAAGGGCCGTGAGGGCGGGCAGCTGAAGAGATGTGCCATGCATTGGATAGGGCCCTTGAGCGTTCTTTCACGTGTCAACACGCCATGTCGACCTACCAACAAGATAGAGGTGTCACCACACCATTGATGTTGGGCTTTTAAAGCGATTCAGCGAATCACTGAACTTTCCAAGGCTTTTCCTCACGAAGTGGCGACAATTCCATCGCCAGAACAGTTCGAAAAGATTGAGATACTGACAACGCGACTGACGACTCCTAGAGGCCACAGAAGACGATAATATTGTGATGAATGGCAGGAGATCGAAAACCCGAGTGGGTCGATCACTTGTGCGAAGGAATTCCTCATGAAGATGGCTCCCTCCCCGTCACAGCAGCGGGGAGTAGAAGCGTTGGTATGCGCAGCGCAGAGTAAATCTGAGTCGCGTAAAACTTTTCGTTGAGCATTGCTCAGTAACTTATGTAAAGGGGATGTAGAGGGGCCCATCTCGTGACATGTAGCTGCCCTCTGGCGCCAACTAATTCCCCCTTGTGTGCATCCCTTCCTGAACGTATGGGATCCTTAGGGAGAGAAAGAGGCAGGTTAGGGGCTGCGTAGCTCAGTTTGAACGTGCTTTGTCTGACTGCACGCATATTTATACTGAGGGCCAAGAAAAGCTTTTAGCCGTCGTCTGTGGTGTTCCTGCATGAAGTAGAGGGCTAAAGCACGCCTGCGTGTGCGGTAGCCTTGCAGCACTAGTTGAAGCGAGCTGCGCCGCACGTCGGGCAGGCCGCCAACCACAGCTGCAGGCAGTGTGCCGCGGTGACCAGAATGGCTGGAGACTGTCGGTAGGTCCACTATTTTTGACGACGTTTATTTCAAGTGTCTTGCCTCCACGGCGGCTCACGACGGTCCTGCGTGTATACCGAAAACTGAAAACTGTCATACAGTTGCAGCTGGGCAGAGACCCCTGGGGCAACTTTCGTATTTTGACACCATTGCAACTCACGAGGATCCTAAGATACGATCGATAGGATTCGTTATACCTATACTTACAGCTGTGCCAAGGAACCCTGGATACTGGAACGCATGTCAGCTGCTCTGGGGAACTCTTTGTTGTTATTTTGACTCCATTGCATTTCACGGTTTTCCTTGGCCAATGCCGAGGATTCTCGTCATCGACGTACATGAGCATGCCCAGCCACCTATTTCTCCTTTTTTTCATCGTTGTAGCAACGTGTGTCCGACCTTGGTACATAAAGACTTACTTCGCCTAGTAGCCAGCCTGCCCGCAAGCATTAGTACAAGAGCTGTCTAAAGTGTTTATGCCTTTATAAACACTGTAGACAACTGTTGTACACCTGTGTTAGGTTCGGTTTGTATACGAAGGTGCCTTGCATCATGAGTTGCTACGCAGCGCGTTGCAACATGTCAGGCAGCCTCTTCCCCTCAAGCCTGAGGCTATTGGGCCGCTTAGCCCAGAACGTCTAGGGATAGGAAATGATGCCAGCTGCTTTCTAAGAACTGTTCTGCTTAAGACTTTTGGCTCGATTGCAGCTCACAACGGCCCTCGCATGAGATCGTGAACTTCCATCACAATCATTCTGTGGGAAGTTTTGCATGTTGAGGGATAATGGCATATCTGTGCTCTGCAGAGGATGAACACGATTTTTGCAAGTATTCAAACGGTATTTGGAACTCAGTAGTTATGAACAGAACTGCAGAGGCTGCTGCTGCAGTCTGCGCTTAGTGCGTAGATAGGCGCTACTCGAGGAGGCTGCCGCGAACGCATGCCCTGGAGCGGCTTTGTGTTGCTTGTTTAATTTAAGTTTGCAAATTAACAAGAGAATCTTCAAGTGTTCTATTTGGTGTTTGTTTGCTGAACCTTGCAACTGAACACAGCCTGTCAACCCCTGTCGCCTCTGGCCTCTCTGCCTCCTGTTTCCTCCTAGGGCGTTGAACGGGTGAACTCGCGGCCTGTTTGTGCTCCGTTTTTGCACAAGACATAATTCGTTTCTGTATTTAAAGAATTTAAGAATTCGATTCAATTGAATTTTGGTCCCTTCTGCTCTCCAGGAGCCGCTGGCTGTGCACCTGCGGTTTGTTCTTGTGGGCATACACCACAGCCCTCGTCGCTGGTTTGCAGCCTTGGTTTGGGGAAATTTCTTGGGATTTCTTTGTGGAGAGCCCTCCAGAACAAATAAATCAATTTTACGATTTTTGCGCAGCTTTCAACAGCAGTTATACCACGATCGCCTCGTCTGCAGGGCGCAGCGGCAGACGGGTCTAGGCTGCCGTCTGCTACTGCATCGAGGGGAACAGCGGATTAATTACTGTTCAATAATCAAGTATTCTTGCAAGATACAACTCCTTCTCCACGCCTCTTCAATATACAACGCATAATCCTCCCTAAGATGTCCACGAAAGCTCAACCAGGCATCCCTACTGCGAAGGACGCAGAGGAACAAGTTGATAGCGGTACGTTCAATTCAGTATTCTTGTTTCATTTGAATATGTTTATTAATATTTCTGCGTTTATATGTACATAAACAGTACGATGTAGAGTCCGTTTCTTCGCCCATGCAGATTTATATGCATTAGGTCCCCAGACGGCGTTCTATCAACTCCCCCATCGTGGCATGTTTACTTGGTTTGCATTTATGTTGTTTTATTGAAGCCAGACACGAAGTTCAAGATCCTTAGAATTGTAGACATGGTTTCTGTACGCAAGTTGTTCATCATTTGCGGTGTGCGACAGCGTGTGCTCTGTTCCCCCAGTGATATTTTTCCTTCAAGTAGACAGTATATTTTTTTAGGTATATGTTCTTTTTAAGCTGTTGAATTGCTTATAATTGAATAAATATTAAGTGCTATGGTTTTAGTGGGAAGAATGCATTTTTGTGGTGTATTCAACAGTGCCTGCATATTGATAGACAGTGTACTAGTGTATTACTGTCTTTGCTGTTCAAGTATGTTTCTGTTTAAGTTGTTCAATATGAGAAGTGTATAACACAAATAGGCGGGCATTTGAAGTGGATGTGCAGAAGTTGATGTATTTTAGGGTTTAGGGTTTAGGGTTTTTTAGGTTTAGAAGGGCATACGAGAGTTGCATATATTTTTAGTCAGTTTGTTCATTTGGTGCTCATTAGGGCTGTGTGCATCTGCCCTGTGCGTTTTTCTTCACTTTCCATGTACATATATGCATTCATGGGGGCTTGTATGTATATATATATGCATATATAAGCGGAGAGGTAGATAGGTGTATCCATACATTCAAGATGTACTTCTCGGTATTCTTGAATAAACATAATATGTATATGTATATATATATATATATATGTGCGTTGCGCGTAGCGAGTGAGGTGTATGAAGAGGAGGAAGACGACGAGGCGTCGGTAGAGGGAGAGGGCGGCGGTCCGGTTGTTGAGGCTCCGCAAGGAATAGAAGAGGGGGGTGAAGATGGAGAAGACGATGAAGAGGAGGAAGTGCTGAGTGAAGATCTTGATGAGAGTCTAGAGGAAGAAGACGGAGAAGAAGAAGAAGGAGATGAAGAAGAAGGAGATGAAGAAGATGAAGATGAAGAGGGAGCTTCAGCACAAGAGGAAGAACACCCCACAATAGGACATAAACGCGAACGCCAGCAGCAGCAGCAACTGCCAGAGGGAGAAACAGAGAACAATGCAGAACAAGATGACTCTCAAGAAGGCAGTGAAAGCGATGATGATGTAGAAGAGGTGGAGCCAGAAGAAGACGATGAACAGCTCGAAGCCCAAAGCACAGAAGACGTCGATGATGAATCTGAGAATGTTGAAGAGGAAGAAGAAACTGCACAGGAACCCCAGGCCAAGCGGGCCCGCACTTGACTCCTTTATATATATATATATACTACATTTATTTATCTCTCTCTTTTTATCCCTCTCTGTATATTATGTATATATACTTAAGCTACTCGGCATGTACGCAAGAGTGTACATACAACCAGCTGACCATTGGTTACGGCAATTCTTAGGTTTATCGGCGCATGCAAAGCGTATTTGCAGCACCAGGGATAAGTAGTTCTTTTGTTTACTTTGGCCCGTGCGCCGCGCAGCACGGCAGCAGTTCACTCAGAAGCAATCAAACGAGAACGAGGGAGATATAGAATGAGGAGGGAAGCAACAGCAACGAACACAACAATCCTGCATTGCTTCGCAGCCAAGAGCGGCAGCAGCAACAGCAGCAGCAACAAAAAACGGCAGCAGCAAGAGCAGCAGCAGCAGTAGCAGCAACAACAGCAGGAAGTCGAAACAGCAGCTTCCTGAGAGCGCGGGGGCCATGGACTTGTGGGGATTCATGCAGTGACGGCTGGTGCTTTGCTGCAGCGGTACAGCAACAGGGCTTTGAAAACAGTTGACGCTTTAGCTGTGTTACGCACGCGACAGCCCAATCAATGAATGGTCTTTGCTCTTTTTCTCCCTTCATCATTTGGTTGCTCCGGAAGGGGGTCTTCTGCCAGACGGTGTCTGTCTTTCTTCAGATCATTGAAGAGAAGCAGCAACAGCAACAGCACAGCTTTGCTGCAGCGGAGTCGTGCAAGACTTTTACTAGGAGCAGCTCACCGGGCTGTATCCTCACTTGCAGACGAACGGTTGCCCTTTTGGCGTGCATCTTAAGGCTCTCTCCATGGCTGTACAGACAGTTGAATAAAGCGGTCCATTGTGCGTTTGCTTTTTTATTTTAATTACTTCATCTGAGATGAGGAGCTAGACATACACATGCAGAAGGATCACCCCTTCTGCCCCTCTTGTTCTTTTGCAGTTGAGGTGTTTATACATGTTCTACTTTGATGTGTATGTCGTTGTACACGGATCAGCCGCACCTCTCTCGCGCACACAGTGATCGGGTTGCACCAACATGCTGCTGCCGCTGCTGGACATTTTCTTTTTATTCTTTGAATTTCTGTTCATAGTTATTTTGGACAGGCGCGCAGTGGATGCGCCTTCTAGTTGAGGCGCCGCTAGGGAAGTGTTTATAGGAGCTCTCTTATTAGGAAAGACACCTAGAAGCAGAAGATGACTGCCCCTTCTCTCAGAAGTGTTAAATAGGAAGAAGTGCAGACCAGAGAAGTACATACCGACATGGACAGAGCGCCTCTTATCTTTGCTTTGGTGGCTCTGCCAGTACAGTGGGCTGTTATTCCAGCGATATCAGTTAGTCAATTAACAAAGTTGATTAAGTTAATTTTATTTGGCAACTTCATGAACTAAATGTCGGAGGTGAAAACGCAGTGCTCAGATTCGTCGCTGCAACGAAGTGACCTGCTGCTGGCGGGCGTGCAGTCCGGCGCAGGAAGACGGGAACAGAGTTTTCCCTGGCAAATTATTTTTGGAAATAATAATTTAAAATTAAAATTTGAAAGATAATTTAAACCAAAATTAGTATAGACACCTCGGACAAAGGCGGCAGTTGTCCTGAGGCCTCCTTGCAAGTTGAGGCCTGACTAGCTGGAAATATCGATGCAAGCAGTAGCTGCTCCTCCTCCTACAGGGAATGCCGCATAAAAAGGGAGAAACTGCATGCAAAATTACAAAAATCATTGAATATAATCAATTTAAATGAAGAATGCATTTTTATTTCTTCGGAGAAATCGCAAAAGGCTACTTACTCAGCGCTGCATGGGCGAGACCACTGCGCGGCCTCTGGCTTGTGGCGGGCAAGCGAGCGCTTGTTGGTGTTTGTCTGTGTTGTTTTGAATTCATATTCATCATTCTTTTGATAATTGATTTTGGAGACAAACTTTTTGTTTGTTTTTCAATTGTGATGAATTATAGTTTGCGGCTGTACATCGCTTCTACCACCGGATCTGTTTTGAGGCTCTAGAACTCGTTGTTGTCTACTACGCGCTTGCAGTGCAGTTAAGCGTTTTAATCTGCTGCCTCTGCTTGAAGTATTTCAAATCGTATTCTAAAGAGACCTGTCTCTTCTTTTACTCTTATCACCTGTTAAAAATGGTGTTTATGGCTGCTCCCGCTGCACCTCCAAGTGCGTCTTCTGTGCGATCTGCACATATTGTTGATGCTGAGCGTCAAACCTGCACTAGACAACCTTCTGTTTTTCTTCCTCATGTCTTCAATTTAAATTACAACAGCAAAAGGGCATCAATACGCTCTCATGGGAGCAGCACATCTGAGCCTCTTCGCTTTCGATTGCTCTCCCTACTTGGGGTTGTGCTGGGTGCCTTGTTGTTTGCTGCCTGCCAGTCGGCATCTGCTGCAGTTGTCGATGCAGAGGAAGATATTCAAATTTTTGAAGATTCTTTTACTCCCACTTTGGAGCACTCAAGCAGCGTTGACGTGCTGACTTCCCCGGGCACATACACCGTCCCTGCTGAGGAGAGGGCTCAGAATGATATTCGCCAAGCATTGCTGGAGCAGCAGCTCTCTAACCATCTACGTGCTGCTGAGCTCGCCCGTATTCAGAAGCAGCATTCTCCCTCCATCTCCAGGACCTATGAAACAGCAGCAACGGTAGCAACAGTTACCACGACAGCAACTGCATTCGCCACAGCACCACCACCGCCCCCCATTGCAACCATACCAGCAGCGCCTCAATACCAGCGGTGGCCCGCTGAATTAGAAGACAGGCAAATAGACAGAATCAGCATCTCTGACAGCCACGAGGACCGCATCTACAGCGGGCCTGCTGCAGCGCTGCCTGCTGCAGCACAGCCTGCTGCAGCATATTCTGCTCCAGCTCAGCCTGCTGCAGCATATTCTGCTCCAGCTCAGCCTGCCGCAGCATATTCCGCTCCAGCTCAGCCTGCCGCAGCATATTCCGCTCCAGTTCAGTCTGCCGCAGCATATTCTCCTGCAGCACAGCCTGCTGCAGCATTTGCTGCTGCACCTCAGCCTGCTGCAGCATTTGCTGCTGCACCTCAGCCTGCTGCAGCATTTGCTGCTGCACCCCAGCCTGCTACAGCACTTCCTGTTGCAGCAGCACCGGCTGTTGCTGCTGCCTCTCCAGCCTCTGCTGCTCCAGATCCTGCTCCTGCCGTGGACCCCGATTTTCAAATGCAGGCCCTGCAAGACGCCTTTGAGGCTCACCTGGAGGAGCAGCTGGCAGCAGCACGCTTAGAAGGGGCGCGTCTGGAGCGTGAGCGGCTAAAGCAAGAGTTGGCTCGATGGGATCGATCCCAGGATCGGGATAGGGAGAATGGGGTGCCACAGGAGAGGATGGAGAGGCAGGTCCACCCCCCACAATTTGTTATTCAGCCCTTACCAGGCAGCAGATACAGCAGCAGCAGCAGCAGCAACGGCAACGACAGCAGCAATATTAGCAGCAGAGTGCCAGCTCGTGAAGTGACAAGGCCTCCGGTGATCGCATCAAGGCACCCGTATACGGTGGCGAGTGCGCAGCCACAGAACAGGACACCGCAGCAGCAGCAGTCGAGGCTTGCAGGGCCACTACAGAGACGAGATAGCAGCAGCAGCAGCAGCAACAACGTGCAGCGAGAAGGGGAGGCGCTGGGGAGAGTACGGAGAGAAAGAGAAGAGTCGCACGACAGCGACAAAAAGCCGCAGGAGACGCTTGACAGAGAAATGATGCTGCTGCAGCTGCAGCAGCTTCAACAGCAACAGCAACAGCAGCAGCAGCAACTGCAGGAACAGCTGCAGCAACAGCAGCAGCAGCAGCAGCAGATGCGACAACAAGCACAGGATGCTGATAGGACCCAAAGACTGCGAACAGCCAGCGAAAGGGCGCGGAGGGACGACGAAGAGCAAGCGTTGAGGGACAGACAAAACTACCAGCAACAGCAGCAGGAGCAGCAGCTGCAGCAACAGCAACAGCAGCAGCAACAGCAGCAGCAACAACTGCAGCAACAGCAACAGCTGCAGCAACAGCAGCAGCAGCAACAGCTGCAGCAACAGCAGCAACAGCTGCAGCAACAGCAGCAACAGCAACAGCAGCAGCAGCAGCAGAATGCGGGGCTGCCCGAACAAGAAAGGGCGCAGCGAGTGTACACTACTCAGCAACAGCAAACCGCAGACAATGTTGCGACCACAGAACAAACCCGCGGCCCTCTGCGTCGCGATGCAGTCAGACCAAACACCCCGACATCCAGTAGCTACAGCAGCAGCAACAACAGCAACAACAGCAGCAGCACCAATGCAGGAACTACTGAGTCTATCGCAGACCGCGTCTCCCGACTGAAAAGCTACGGGCAATCACAACCACAGCCACAGTCGCAGCAGCAGCAGCAGCAGCAACCGCTGCAGAGGGCCGTTGTGCGAGAAGAAGTTGACAGAAGGGAGGCAGTGCAGCGGACGCAGCAGCAACCAACGGAACAGGACAGCAACCTCGCGGAGAAGATTGACAGCTTGATGCAGTCTCTACAGACGATGCTCCCTCATCTCCGCAGCATAGAACGAAGCAGAGACGGAGACAGCAGCACCATGCAGCAGGAGACAGAAACACCTTCAGGGAGGAGAGCCACTTTAAGTTCATCGCTGGAAAGAGAACAAACAGCAGATGTATTCAGGGACACCCTTCCGCGCAGCAGCAGCAACAGCAGCAGCAGCAGCAGCCAGTTTCTGCCTGCTGCGGCCTCGCCACCTTCGCCTGTTTCGCGGTCAAGAGCTTCCTCTGGAGGATCATCTGGTTCTGCTTCTCCAGAAGCAGCAGTAGCAGCAGCAGCAGCAGCTGCTGCTGCTGCTGCAGCTGCTGCATCTGCTGCTGCTAGGGGCGTCATCCCCCCCTCTTCTGTGCTCACGTCAATCGCTCCTTCCGTCAGCAGCATTCCGCTGCATACTGGAGGCTTCAATTTAAGAAACTACCGCAACAACAATTTGAATATGTCTGGGTCTCTAGACACTGCTGCTAGCCGGATGCTGAACACTAGAGCAGCAGCAGCAGCAACACAGGGAGCTGGTCCTGCAGGAGAAGAAGAAACAAGCGAAGAAGAAGAGCAGCAAAGCTACGCGGAGGGGATGTCAAACGTAGAGACAGCAGCAACACAAGTGCAGCAGCAAGAAGATGGAGCAAAAGAAGAGACAATCGTTGCTGCCCTTCCAAACAACAACAGCGGCAGCAGCGGCAACAGCAGCAGCAGCAGCGACAAGAGCAGCAACAACATGGAAGCTCCCCCAGCATATGGAGAAAGGGAAGCAGAAACAGGTGGAGAGAAGCTGCTGCACCCTGCCGACGACAGAGCAGCGGCACCACCTGCCACGGAGCAGCAGCAGCGGCAACAGGAAGAAGAGCAGCAACAAAATGAACAGCAGCAACAGCAACAGCAGAGTGGGGGGCTCGTGGGTCGTCAGTTGGCAGCTGCGGATAGCGTAGAAGCTGAAGCTGCAGCACAGCAAGAAACGAAAGAAAAAGAAGAGGACTGCGAGGGTGATTTGTCTGCTTTGATTGAGGAGAAAACTATACACAGTAATGAACAAGATACAGCAGCAGTTACGGCTCTCTTGCTGCACCTTAAACGCACCGCTGAACTCTTACAAACCGCCAAACAAAAGCAACAGCGGCTTCAGCAGAGGCGTTTCTCAGCAGCAGCTGCTGCTGCACGCCTTGCAGTAAAGACAGCAGCAGCAGCAAACGCTGCAGCAACAGCAGCAGCAGCAGCAGAGGCTGCGAAGGAATTGGCAGCAAGCAATAATGGTGGTGATGGTAGCAGCCAGCAGCAGGAGTGGCAACAGCTGCAAGAGCAGCAGCAGGAGGAGGAGCAAGGATTGGGCAGCAGCAGCGCTTCGATGCGTTCTCTTGCCGGGCTGCGGAAGCGTACACGATATCACCAGCAGCAGCAGCAAGGGGAAAACAGCAGCACCACTTTCTCTGGAGATGATGATGATTCTTTATCAAGACCAAGGGAGTTTCCTGTTGTAGAATTAGTTACATCTTCGTCTCGGCCTCCACCTCCAGGGCCCCCAACACCCTGGATCGGTGCAGCAAGACGCAGCAACAACAACAGCAGCAGCACAGCGGGGCAGCATGGGCTTGAAGACGGAGCTAACTACCCTAATACACCTTATAGAACATATATGTATTACCCTAATCCTTTCAGCAGTACATACAGCACTCATTCTTATAGAGAAGACTACGGCACAACCTACAACAATTTATACTACCATGATGCTTCTCCTAAAAAGATATTGTCTTGGAAGGAATATATGCGAAGAAAAGAAGAAAAACGAGCACAAGATCAGAGATCAAGAGAAGAAGAGAATGAGCCTAAGGTCGGTGTGCTGCAGCTTGGACCTGCTGCTGAGCAGCAGCAAATCGGCATCATCGATACAGAACGCAACAGAACCTACACGCGTTCATATCCGTCTTCTTCTCAACGGTATCCATACAGCAGCAGCAGCAGAAGCAGAAGCAGCAGTAGCAGCAGCAGCAGCAGCAGCAGCAGCAGCAGCAGTAGCCCTATTAGTAGTACTAGTAGCAGCAGGGCCTCTCAAACCACCAGGTGGCCCTCCACGTTGCAAAGCAGCAGCAGCAGCAGCAGCGGCGGCGGCAGCACAAGCAGAAGCATCAGCAGCGGCGGCAGCACAAGCAGCAGCAGCATCAGCAGCAGCGGCAGTAGTAGCAGCATCGGAAGCGGCAGCAGCAGGACAGCAACCACGTGGGTGCCCTCTGCCTCATCACAGAGCAGCAGAAGCAGCAGAAGCAGCAGCAGCAGACCTCGAGTCTCCTCCTCAGTAGTAACCAGTTACTAATTCAGCCAGCAGCAGCAGCAGCAGCAGCAGCAACAGTAGCAGCAGAAGCAGCAGCAGCAGCAAGAAATGATGCCGTTGTATATTTCAGCACTCTGCTGTTTTCTTTCCTCCAATTTTGACATTTGTTTGCTCGCAGCGATGCTGCTGGAACACCATCAGTTAATCGATTCACTATGATAATAATGCCTTTCTAACGCAGATAATGTATATATATATATATATATATATATATATATAGCATGCCTCTACTATTTACGTCAGTATGTGCAGAGATATCCAGTAGTCTAGAGAGATAGCGTATAGACTGTATATCATATAAACATATATATATATATATACATATATATATATGTATATACAGGTATATATATTTGCTTGAATTAATGCGTACACCTGAGTAACAGAAAATAAAACTAAAGAGAAATGCGAAGTGGTGCGCGATCCAAGGCGTAATTCTTTTTGGGGTGTCTGATAACCTCAACGCTCTAACGAAGTGAAGCAAACAAACAAAGAAAGCCAAAGGGTTTTCTTGTGCTGTTGCACGCAGTCGTCAAAACGCATGCATGCAAGCCCCCAGCAGAAGCAGCAACAGCAACAGCAGCAGCAACAGCAGCAGCAGCAACAGCAGCAAGCCCGGCGCCCGCATGCAAAGACAACGCCCTGCCTTCTCGGGTTTTGCTGGTGTGTACAGACAGATAAACATATTCTTTTTTCTTGCATTCGCACTTAACTTTAGTTGTTCAATCTCGATGCACGCACTGCAGCAAGCGAAGCAGCAGCAAACTGCATCGATAGCAATTCAGTGCATGCACCCTTCCATATAAAACCCTCCCGCCCCTTAATCCCGCAAAGGCAGCAGCAGCAGCATCAGCTGCTGTTGCTGCTGCTGACGCTGCTGCTGCTGCTGACGGTGCTGCTGCTGCTGCTGCTGGCGCTGCTGCTGCTGCTGCTGCTGCTGCTGCAGCGCCTGCTGCAGCTGCATGCATGCATGCAAGCAGCAGCAAATTGCATGCGAGGGATATGACGTCAGCCTATTTTCTTCCTCCACAAAATAATCTCTTGCTTCTTAAAATACCTGAAAAGACAAAAGAAAGCAGCAGGAACAGCGCATTGAACACTCGTCTCTGCTGCTGCTGTTGCTTCGGGTGTTGCTGCACTGCGGCAAATATAGACAAGGGCAAGAGGCTGTGCTATATGATTATGCATTTTCTTTTTGTTCAGGCTTTGAATATATTAATTTCGTTACTTGCATTTATTCTCCTTTTCTGCTTTTCACCTCTGTATACTGTCGGGTGTGTACTTCGCTACCTGTCTACCATTATAATTAATTAACTTATTAATTTAATTAATTAATATAGTCAATTAAATTAATTAACTAATTAATCAAATTATACACCATAAGGCCTGCTTAATCCTGTGGCGGTTTATTTCAGTGCATTGTTTGCGAAGATGTGCGCAATTAGTTGGTGTAAATAATAACTGTATATATAATATAAATAAACATGAAGATAATTATTTAATCCATAATTAAGATATGTAATATATAAATATATTACATATAATGTATTCATTATATATTAATTATGAAGCAAACAGGGCGTGCCTATTATGTTTCTTGCGTGCCTTCGTTGTTTTGCTTTTACTGCTATTTATGCATGTGTTTATTTGCTTATGTCTCAAAAGGTAGATATCTTCCTTAACTCGACTAACGGCTAGTGCTATTATAAAGGAAGGGGCATGCATGCACGCATGCATGCATATAATTGTGTGGAATGCCTGCATGCACGCATGCAAACTAATTAACCTTTTAGAGTATTAGAAGTAATATATGCACGCATGCATGGATTAAAAGTAATAGATGAGTGCATGCATGCATGCATGCGTGCATAGCTTACCTTCTGTCTTCTTCATCTACAAGCACAAGGTTTAGGAAGTAACGGACAGAGAATTTATTTTGTACATTTTTATAAGTTGGTGTTAAGTCCAGCCCACTCAAGTAAAGCCTCACGGGGATACACTCCGCTGCAAACATGTTTAGAAAAACAATACAAACAAATTAAATCACTTATAATGCAATTAACTTATGAATAAATTAAAAAATAAATACAAAAAACAAACTGAAAACAAACAAATGGAGACGCAAACAGACAAAATAAGAGAATAAAAAATAAAACAGAAGGCGGAAGATGGGCGCAGACAACTCCTCCAACTCAGACGACAGTACAAGCAGCACTAGCTAATATAAATATATATATAGATATATATATATACATATGCATATAGATTTATAATATATATATATATATGTAGCATTTTAAAGATTATATTAAGAAAAAAATTTAAATAACATAAAAAGGTTTAGAGGAAAAACTGCGTACAGCGAATTGGCGCCCCATCCATGATTTCGAATTTAGAGAGAGTTTCAGAGTCAGTCACTGCAGCAGCTCCTGAAGCAAACAAATGCAATAAAATAAAAAATAAATAAATAAATAAATAAATAAATAAATAATAAATAGACAAACAAATAAAAGTAGAGAAGGAAAGGATATAAAAGTATAAACAAAAGAAATAAAAGAAATATGACAATAGGACACAAAAATATGAATAAGTCAATGAAGAGAATAAGTTAATGAATAAAATAAAAATGTAAATATATGCCTGTGCCCGCTGTCTCCGTCTTGAAGATGTAGAGATGCATGTCTTTAATTTTAATTCGCACAAATATAAAGTGTATATATATACAAGAATATACATATATATATATATATGTATACATATTCACATGCATATGAATAAAAACGAAATAGAAATAAAAAATTAAATAAAGAGACAAAGGTATAGAAGAAGTAAACAAATACCTGTGCCTGCTGTCTCTGTCTTTAAGATATCGAGCTGCATGTCTTTAATTTTAATTCGTACAAGTACGAAATATACTTTCCCAATAACAACATCTTTTAAGTGGTAGCGGCTTTTATCGAATTCAAATTCAATGTGCAGACAGTCTTCTATGCCAACCTGCACAAACAAACCACTAAAATTAGCTCCATATATATATACATATATATATACATATATATATATATATATATATACATGTATATATATATATATATATGCATATATACATGTACATATATATATATATATTATATGCATATGGTATAAGTGCACATATACATATATCAAAATACGTAGGTATCCATATATACATATATACCACATATATATATATATATATACATAAGCATATTAATTAAATCACAAGTAAACAATATATATATATATATGGATATAAACAAGACTATAAAAAGATTGCTACCTCCATTTTGATGGAGTTTTTAATTTCTGGGGGCGGCCCGACGTTCTGCACGATGAAGTCGTGCTCTTTCACAATGCTGCTGCAGCAACAAAACAAACAAAAACAGTGCAGCAGCTTCTACATGTAATTCAACCTGTTGCTGCTGCTCCTGCTGTAGTGGGCGCTGCTGGTGCAGTGGCTGCTGCTGCAGCTTGTGCTGCTGCAGCTGGTTTTGGTGGTGGTGCTGCTGCTGCTGTTGCTATTCTTTCTTGTGCTGCTGGTGCAGTTGCTGTTACTGTTGCTGCTGCTGCCATTGCTGCCGCAGTTGCTGCTGCTGCTGCTGTTGTCGTTAGTGCAGCAGCAGCAGCAGAAAACAAAACAGCTCCCGGGCATGCATGTACGAAGCGAGCTTGAAGGAAAAACAATATAATGAAACAAAAATAGCGAAGAAAACGAACAGAGACAAAAAGAATATTCAAACAGAGAAAGAAGAAAAATAAAAGAAAGACATAAACACAAAGACAAAAAAACTGAGGGAGAGAAAGGAGAAGGATAATAAAAAAGAAAAACAAACAAAAACAAAAAAAGAAAAACAAAGACAAAATAAACAAAGACAGACAGAAATTAAAATAATTATAATGATAAGAACAAAGGCAAATACAGAGAAAAAGAAAAAAGCAAACAAACACACAAAAAGAATAAAGACAAACAAAAAGAATAAAATCAAACAACAAAACACTGAGAGAAACAAACGACAAATAGAAACAAAGAACAAGAAGAAAGCTAAAAACAAATAAAAACAAATAAAAACAAATAAAAACAAATTGAAACAAAAACAAACAACAGCAAACAACGGCGAGCACAAGCATCAACACAGAAGAAAGAAAGAAAAACATGAAGGTAAACAAACATAAAGACAAAGACAAGCAAAGCAAACAAAAAGAAAAATACACAAACAACAAACACAAGCAAAAACAAACGAAAACAAACAAAAACAAAGACAACAAGCAAAGACATCAACGATACCGAACTACAAAGACAAAGAAAGGCAAAAGATAGTAAAGACGAAGACAAGCAAAGAATAATAAAGACAAAGACAAATCAAAAAAAGCAAAAATAAAAACAAAGACACGACAATAAATATATTCTTCTTACCTCGCATAGTGGCGGTGTATAGTCAGGCGAACAAAATATCTTAAGCGCACATTTATACCCGAGTATGTTTCATGAGTTTTATCAACAGCATTAAATTTAAATTTATATTTCTTGCTTTCCACCAATACACCCGGAGGGTCAAGGTCTTTGGTTATAGAAAAGAAATCGTAAGTGCTGCTCCGGTCGTACAGCATATCTGCAGAAAGAAAGAAGAATAAAGAATTAATTAATTAATTAATTAATTAATTAATTAATTAATTCTTTATTCTTTAATTGAATAGGTTTATAACAGACGATATAGAATTCAGCGAGTATATTATTAAATAGATTCAATCAGTTAAATTAATTAATTGCTTAAAAAACAAGCAAAAAACAAACAAACAAATAAACAAACAAACAACTAAAGAAATAAACACACAAATAAATAAGGAAACAAATAAATAAATAAACAAACGCTCCATGCATGAACAACCCCACGCGAAAGTATAAATAAATAATACATAATAAATAAAAACTAATAAATACTAAAAAACAATAATCAATATTTAATAATTAAAGATAATACGTAATACAAACAAATGCAGAAACAACAGCTGCAAACCCTAAAACAAAAACAAAACAAATTAGGGTTTAGGGTTTAGGGTTTAGGGTTTAGGGTTTACTGCTTACCCACTTGCCCCACTAACTCCACTTTGATTCCATTATGCTCCAATTTCTTCCCTGTCTTTAAATTTAGAAATGCTACTCCACTGACGTCTTCTATATCCTGCAGCAGCAGCAAAAGATTAATAATTAATTTCTTTTTGTTTTTCTTGTTTAGGTGTTTGTTTTGTTTGTTTCTTCTGTTCTATTTTATTTTGCTTTGCTTGTTTTCTTTTGTTTTGTTCTGTTTGTTTTACTGTTGCTCGTAATTGCTGTTTATTGCTGTCGCCTATACCCCTATACCTGTTAATGCTATTTATTTATTTTATTTATTTATTTACTTATTTATTAATTTGTTTGTTCTTTATTTCTGTTTCGTTGTTGTTATTGCTGTGGTGTATATACACCTCAGTGCTGCTGCCAGTCATAAACGATGAAAGACAAAAAGAAAACAAATAAATGCTGAATATACACAAACGATAATAATAATAATATAAATATATATTATTATATTTAAATATATTCATATTACTATTATAATCATTATGTTTTAATAAATGATAACAAATAATAAACAGCAAACAATAGTTTACAGACGGCAAATAATAAATAAGAAATAATAAACACCGAAGAATAAATTAAAAACTCAAGAAAAAAAATAATAAACACGTACACCAGACTAAACAACAAATAATAGAGACAAATAATGATACAAAAGGATAAATAATAAACAAAAGATAATATATATAATATAAAGAAATGCTAATATGAAGAATAGACAAAGAAAAGACAATAGCACATAAAAGAGTAAATAATAAACAACAAATACACGAACGAATAAATAACAAACAAAAGATAATACTATATTATTATTTGTCTTACAGTGTATATAGGAAGCTTCTCTCCTTTTCTTTCTCGTGTAAGCCAAGTGCATTTTCTTCCGTCTCTATCGAGAGCAATATCAACAGAGCATGAGCCGCCGAAGAAAGTAGAGAGCTAAAGAAGCAGCAATAAACAAACAAAACAATAAAAAACACAAACTAATACCTCATGCACACACATCTACACACACACATGCACATATACATATACTACCTGCAGCAGCAGCTGCTGCTACTGTTGCAGGTAGTATATACACGCATACACATATACATATACCTGCAACAGCAGCAGCAGCAGCTGCTGCTGCTGCTACAGGTGTATGTAAGTGTATGCTGCTGTGCTGCTGTTGCAGCTGCATTCGTATTCTTCGCTTAAGGGCAAGAGATAAAGCAGATATATTCAGATGCATTTTTGTCTTCTTCTCTGGTTTTGCATTAACTGTTGTTGAGAGGGAGGTAAACGAATAAAAGCAGCAAACTCACCATCTTGCTGTATGTCTTCTGCAGCAGCTGTACATACACCCCAAGCCTTGGGGGCCTTCTTATGCCCTAAAAAAGATATTTCAATGTCTGCTGCTGCTGCTGTTTTTACCGCTGAGGAATGAAGCAAAAGCCTCTAGATCATCAGGTTCATGTATGTACACCGCAAGACAGACAGAAGCATAAACACTCACTCAAAAGGCAGAGGCCTAGCAAGAAGGTGAGGAAGAAGAAGAAAATAAAACAATAAGAAACACAAATTTTAACTTAAGAGAAAGAAGTAAAACAAGAATACCTTCTGCTGCTGCAGCAGCAGCAGAAGCGACGCGAACAAGAGCTGGGCACGTGCAGCAGCAGCAGATTCTCCTTCTCTTTGTATTTTATTTGTCTATTTACGTCAAATAAATATCTAAAAATAAGAAGAAACTGCAGAGGTTTTCACTCAAAATATGCCTCTAACTTCGGGTGTATGTACAGCACAGCTGCCCGCAAGCCGCTGCGATCCGGTCTTGATAACTGCAGCAGAAGAAAGAGAAGAAATGTATGGAGAAGTTTTTAAAGAGATATATATTTGTATTTGAAAAACTTAATTAAATTGCTTAACTTATTAATTACACACAAATAAAATAAAATTCCCTATCATACATATACAAACCCCTTCGTTGACTTCTCTGCTGCTGCAGCGCTGTGCTGCTGCTCTCACGAACTCTGTTTAAACTTTTCTGTATTTTTTCTAGAAATAAAGAAAGGCAATTAAAATATTAAGTTAATAAATTCTATTTTTCTTCTTTTTCTTGTTTTACCACACAAATATTCAAAACTTTCTCGTGTATTTACACCTCGTTGTCTGTCTGTTGAGTGCTCGGTATGGTTGCCTGCAGCTAAAATAATACAGCAATATATGCATTTCTTTTGTTTTCCTCATTAAATGTAAGTCATATTCTTTTATTTCATTTAATTATCTTTTAAACGACTGCCGCAGAGACACTGGCTTCAGACGGGAAGACGCCATTCTCATCTCGCTCTCTAAACAAATTAAATGAAACTAAATATAATAAAAATATATTTATCAAAGCCTCTCTGCATGCAACAGATACTGCGAGATTTTGCGTACAAATGCAGCAAAACATGCAGCTTGAAATCCTGCCTCTCCTAACTATCATGCTCTCCTCAGCATTGTAGTTAATACAAGAAACAATATTAATAAAATAAAAGAAAGAAGACATACTTCTCTTATTAATAATAGCTCAGTTGTGGGGTCTTTCACGTTGAAACACATTTTATTATGACCTCTTTAGTAAAGCGTACTTCTCTTTCTCTCTCTCTCGCTCTATATATATATATATATATATATATATATATATATATATATGTATATAGCAGAAGACGTATTAATTTATACACATTTATATTTATCTATGCATCTGCTTCTATGAATATATTTATATATTTTCTTGCATCCATCTGTATATACACACACATATAATATTACATACGTACACATTCATCTGTCTATATATATATATATATATATATATATATTCACGTTCATGGATATGCATATATGCATGCAGTTGCAGCAGCAAATAATAATAATTCTTAGCTACTGCAGCTGCTGTCTTATCTTTGTTTCTAGAAGAAGCGGCAGTGCATGCAGCAGAATGTATGAGAGGCCGTTGCATGCGTTTAATCTCTAGGCTTGCTTATCCTAACTCCCTTTGTTTTGCTTCTGCTGCTGCTGCTGCTGCTGCATTCAGCAGTGTCATTATTCGCGCTGCTGCTGCCTGCGCAGCAGCAGCAGCAAACAGCAACCCTTTCTGCTGAATCGAAAAACAGAAAGACGAAAGACTCTGCAACGCAAGCTGCTGCTTGTTTGCTGTCTCATTCAGAACAAATTTTATTCTATTAAAGCTTCTGCTCCTGCAGCAGCAGCAGATCCGCATGCAGAGCAGCAGAGACACGACACGACGTTCCTCCCAGTGTTGCTGTTGTTGGTGCTGCTGCTGCTGTTGCTGCTGATGCCTCCTGCTGCGGCGGCTGCTGCTGTTACTGATGCTGCTGCTGTTCCTGCGGCTGCTGCTATTGCTACTGCTGCTGTTTGCTGCGGCTGTTGCTGCTGCTTCTGCTACTATTGCTATTACTACTGTTGTTGCTGCTGCTCCAACTGCTGCTGTTGCTGCAGCACCAGCTGTTGCAGCAACAAACAGCAGCAAGAGATTGCCTCTGAATAATGAGGGCCATTCATCATTATTATAATTTTATACCGATGCACATTTGACTGTATCTGCAGATATATAATATACAACTACTTCTTCCATTACTTATTTATCTATGTATCTACACCGACATATATATATGTTTATATATATTATATACGTATATATATATATATATATATGTCTATATATATAGATGGCAGCTAATACACAGCAAATTGACACCTGCTACATCACCTGCAACAGCAGCAAGCCGCAGTAGCAGCAGACAGCAGCAGCAACAGCAACAGCAGCAACAGCAACAGCAGCAGCAGCAGCAAAAGCAGCAGCACGGGTTTAGTGACAAACAGGCGGAGGCAGAATCTAATGCACATAATTTATTGAGGGACGCTGAAAGAAACAGACAAAAAACAGCAGCAAAGAGCAGCAGAAGCGAGCGCATCGTAACAAATGCCAAATCAAAGGAAGAACAGCTGCTGCTGCTGCTGCTGCTGCTGCAGCATACTGGTTATGTGTTGCTGCAGCAGAAAATAAAATGTTTACTCAGAGATCATTGATAAGACCCTCATCTTTCCGTGAAAGCAATCCTTGCTGCAGTTGCATGCAGTTTGCTGTTTGCTGCACCTCAACTAAACAGGCTCATGGGAATGCCCACAATGCGCATTGTGCTGCTGCTGCTGCTGCTGCTGCTGCTGTGCTGCTGCTGCTGCTACTACCCCCTCACGGCCTAAACTCTGCATCTGCAGCCTCTGCTTCCTGTGATGGGTGCTGCTGCTGCTGCTGCTGGTCAGTAGCAACAGAAGCAGCAGGAGTTGCCGCAACAGCGGTGTCTGCTGCAGGTATTGGTGCAGCAGCAGCAGCAGCGCCTGCAGCGCCTGCAGCAGCAGCAGGTGCTGCTGCTGCGGTTGCACCAGTCAAGTTCCACCCTAAACTCTCAACAAAAGAACCAAGAGAAGCAAATGCTGCAGAAAAGCTGTCTTTCCCTGCAAGTGTCTGCATGCTGCTGCTTCTCCCGCTGCTGGAAGGGTCTGCTTGCTGCTGCTGCTGCTGCTGCTGCAGCTCCTCCCCAGAACCCAGCAGCCACAACCTGCTGCCCAAGTCGGGGATGCTGCTGCTCAAGTGCCGCTGGTGCTGCTGCTGCTGCTGCTGCTGTTGCTGCTGCTGCTGCTGCTGCTTCTGAGATGAAAGCCAGTACGACAAATCTGCTCTCGATATGCCCATGGGAGACGAAGTTGTTTCATTCCAAGGACCTGCGGGCCACCATGAAAAATGCCGCTGCTGCTGCTGCTGCTGCTGCTGTTGCTGTTGTTGCTGCTGTCCTAATGCAGAATCCTGCAGCGGCGAATCGCTGCATGAGCCGTCTCTTGTGGGTATCTGTTGCTGCGAGGAGCCTCCTGCTCCACCCCGAAGCTGCTGCTGCTGCTGTTGCTGTTCCTGCGGCTGCTGCTGCTGCTGCAACGTACTTGCTGATTCCATTGAGTGATTCCGAAGGGCTTTTCGTGCAAGGATAGTTTGCTGCTCCTCTATTGCCTGCAGCTGCTGCTGCACTTGTTGCAGCTGCTGCAGCGCCATCTGAGCGTGCTGCTGGCCTTTGACCCACAAATCCGCATCCTGCTGCTGCTGCTGCTGCTGCTGCTCGAGCTCGTGCTCTTGCTGCATCACTGATGACCTGGTGGTTGTTGAAGCGCTTAGGAGATCTCTATGCGGTGCTGCAGCAAAACAAACACCTTCTTTTGCTGCTATAGCCACTGCTGCATCATTTGCTGCTGCAGCAGAACCCTCTCCGCTGCTGTCGTTCGTTGATGAAGCGGCGGGAGCAGTCGTTGGATCTCCTGGATGCAGCAGCGGGTGCTGCTGCCTCAGCTGCTGCTGCTGCTGCTCCTGCAAAAGCTGGTTTTTCAGTTGCTGCTGCTGCTGCAGCAACTGCTGCTGCTGAGCCAACAGTATAGCCTCAACCTCCTCGTGGTGCAGCATCCCGGGGTGCTGCAGCTCAGCTGTCTGGCCTTCGTTTGCTGGTGGGCGCTGATCGATTCTGTCGCTGCTGCTGAAGCAGCAGCTGCAGCTGCTGCAGCTGCTGCAACTACTACACTCGCTGCTATTGCTGCTGCTGTTGCAACCGCTGCACCGCAACGTTTCAGAAGAGTCAGCCGAATGCCCTGACAAAGTCAAACCACAAAATAACTGCATCCGCATCCGCTGCTGCTGCTGTTGCTGCTGTTGCTGCCAGCAGCAGCAACAGCAGTAAAAACCAAGGGAAGAACGCAAACCGCTGCACGCTGTTAGGCTGCGATATACCCCCACTCAAAAACCCTAAAGGCATCAACTCACCTTGCGCGTACGAATGGTCTTGCTGCTGCTGCTGCTGTTGCTGCTGCTGCTGCTGTTGCTGCTGCTGAGCACAGTCATCGTCGTGGAAGCGAACAGCTGGGCGCTGCTGGTCTTCCTTTAGTGCTGCAGCAAAACCCCCTTCACTGCGCTTCAACCTGCTGCTGCTTCTGCTGTTGCTCCTGCTCCGATTGCTGCTGCTCCGATTGCAGCTGCTGCCGGGCGTCGCCTCCGCCTCCTTGCTCCTTTCTGCGCAGCAACACATAGCAGCAGCACACCCACATTTTGCGGCTGCAGGTACCGCACTCTCGCCGCATGCAGCAGCAGCAACGCGATGCAGCAACACCCTGGGACTGCAGCCAAATCTGCTGAAGCAGCAATGTGCTGCAGCTGCTGCAGCTGCAGCTTGCTGCAGCAACGGAAACATGCAGCAGCCTCAGCAGCAGCAACTCGTCCCCAATCTGCTCGAATTGCCTCCTGCTCCATTTGCTGCGCTTCGCAAACACCATAGCTGTTGCTGCTGCTGCTCCTGCTGCTGCTGCTTCTGCTGCTGCTGCTGCTGCTGCCGCTGCTATGCAGTTGTAATAGCTGCCGCCAGTTGTTGGCAGCAGCACTCCCGCAGCAGCAGCTACTACAACTGCGGCAGCTACTACAACTGCAGCAGCAGGTACAGCTACAGCAGCAGCGCCAGATAGAGCTACAGCAGCAGCAGCAGCAGCAGCAGCAGCAAACAGACCCTTCCAGCAGCAGAAGAAGGCAAGGAGACGGCTTATTCCCTCGAACTCTACAGGCCCTGCTTCTCACAACTGCTGCTGCTACTCCCATTTCTACTGCTGCTGTTGCTGCTGCTACACCTGCTGCTGTTGCTGCTGCTGCTGCTGCTGCTGCTCCTGCTGCGTTTGCTGGTGATGCTGCCTTTCGTCCCTGTTCCCTTGTTGGAGCTGCTGCTCTTCTTCCTGGTCTTGCTTGTGAGCCTTTGCCTGCTCCTGCAGCAGGAGCAGGTGCTGCTGCTGCTGCTGTAGGTGCTGCTGCTGTAGGTGCTGCTGCTGCTGCTGCAGGTGGTGCTCGTCCTCATCACTGAATTCATCTGCTGCTGCTTTCTGCCCCCTTTCAAAGAGCTGCTGCTGCCACGAGATAAACTGAGGGTGGCAGACAAGGCGCTCCACTTCTCCTTGTGCTGTTAAGTTCGTAAGAGACTCAGAGGGAGTCAGCAGCAAGCCCTTGCCGCTGCTGCTGCGGCTCCTGCTGCGCTGCACCTGCTGCTGCTGCTGCGGAAGAGGAGGAGGCACCGCTGCACCTTCACGTGCGTCCGAACCTCCCTCCGTTGCTGCTGCTGCTGCTGTTGCTGCTGCTGCCACGGCACTCCCGAAGCCGCTCCAGCTGAGCAAAGAGTCTGACCGCTGATGCTGCTGCTGCTGCTGCTGCTGCTGTTCTTGCTGCTGCGCCTCAGCACCAGCATCGCTGGAGGTCCCCCAAGACATGGATGCCCCCTTGCGGAATTCTAGCGAAAGAGAGCCGAACGACGAGATTTCCCGCTGCTGCTGCTGCTGCTGTTGCTGCTGCTGCTGCTGCTGGGGATCTTCTAAGCCTATGCTGCTGCTCCTGCTGCGCGGCATGAGGTACGGTGCTGCTGCATACAGCTGCGCTGTCACTGGGTTCTCCCTGCGCCATCTGCTGCGGCAATATCTTCTTAAAAAGAAATAAACATCTTTCGTGAATAAACTCTGCGGTTTAAGAGAGGCTGAGAGTGTGCCTCCCCCGGCCTCTGCTGCTGCTTTTGCTGCTGCTGCTTCTGCAGCAGCAGCAGCAGCAGCGGCAGATGAACGATGCCGCTGCCGCGGATACTGCTGCTGCTGCTGCTGCGCTGCTGCTGCTGCTTCACGGTCTTCAGGAGGCAGCAAGACAGATAAAGAAGGTAGCAGCTGAGAAGCAGCAATCTGTCTATGCTCAAGCTCCCGCTGCTCCGGCAGGTGAGCCCACCAAAAGGCAACAACAGCAAAATAAGAAACAGCAGCAGACTCCAGCAGCAGCAGCACCGGCACAGCACAGCGATCTACAAGCAGCAGCAACACTCTTCTACAACCCCCCCAACACACAAACAACAAAGACAGCAAGCAGCAAAGTGCATAATCCAGAAAAGCTAATAACGCATTGCTGCTGCTGCTGCTAGGAGGAGGAGGAGCAGCAGAGAACAGAGGCACGTCATCCGCTGCACTGATGATGCTGCTGCTGCTGCACATGCGCATCTCTGCAGCTCTCAAGCTGCTGCCAGCACTGCCGTCATCTCCCTTAGAGAGAGACCCTTCACGCCTGCTGCTGCTGCTGCTGCTGCTGCTGCTGCTGTTGCTGCGCCTTTGCCGCAGAAACCCAGAAAACCATGAAGACTGCTTCTGTGTTGAGGAAGAGGAGCTGCTGCTGATTGGTGCTTCCTCTTTTGCAGTGGACAGACACCTCGGCGAAGCTACTGCTCCTTGCTGCTGCTGCTGCTGCGGATCGTTTGCTGCTGCTGCTGCAACAGAACCCTCCCTACCACTACGACGCTGTTGCTGCTGCTGCTGATCCCCTCGAACTGAGTCTGTAGAAGTAGCAGCAGCAGATCCTGCTGCAGGCTCTGCTGCTGCTGCTGCTGCTCGCGTTGCAGCATTTCCCAGCAGCAAGCAGAAGGCGAAGAGACGCCAATAAAACAGAGGCAGCAGATCCAGCAGCCGCAGCAGCAGCGACAGCAGCAAACCATTCACCAGCAGCAAAACAACAGAGGCGAACGTAAGAAGAGGGTCCTCCCAATTAAAGGCATATTTTATTTTATCGAGACACTGCGCGGTGTATCCAAACAGCAACTGAAAGAAAACGCAAAAACAAAACAAAGCAGCAGCAAATGCAGCAGCAGCAGCAAATGCAGCAGCAGCAGCAAATGCAGCAGCAGCACCAAATGCAGCAGCAGCACCAAATGCAGCAGCAGCACCAAATGCAGCAGTGACAGCAAATGCATCATCACCATCAGCAGCAACCCCAGCATCATCTTCATCAGCAGCAGCATCATCAGCACCAGCATCACCATCAGCAGCAACAGCAGCAGCAGCAGCATACCTGCAGCATAGTGGAGACTTCTACAAGGTTTTGAAGTTGTTCTACGAGGTGAGGCTCCGCTTCATCATCAGCGAAGATCGGCCACTCTTCGTTGCTGTGCGGTTTGGGGTGTACAGACACCCGGACCTGCCCGAAGGGGCTGCATATAAGAGAGAAGCCTTCCCCTGAGGACCCCTCAACTGCTGCTGCTGCTGCTGCTGCTGCTCCTGCTCCTGCTGCACCTGCTGCAGCTGTACCAGCAGCAGCGCCAGCTGCCGCCGCTCCTGCTGAACAAGGAACTAATGCGCCACTCGCTCCGGGTGCTGCTGCTGCTGTTCCTGCTGCAGCAGCAGCTGCTGCTGCTGCTGGAGCTGCTGCTGCTGCTGCTGCTGCTGCAGCCTCCGCCTCCCCCTCATCGGTCCCCAGAGACAACAACGGCCACAGACCTTGATTAGACGAGCTCTTCGTTGGAGCTGCTGCTGCTGCGGCTGTTGCTGCTGTTGCTGCTGCTTCAGATACAGTGGAATCCGACAGCTGCAGCAGCTGCTGCTGCTGCCCGAACGACCTACTGCTGCTGTTGCCCCGAGGGGTCAATATCCAGTCAGCACCCGCCTGCTGCTGCTGCTGCTGCTCCGGCAGCTCCCACATTACGTGGCCACTCAGACTATCAGTTGACTCGGGAACGGCTTCTGCTGCTGCTGCTGCTGCTCCACTGTCGGTATCAGCAGCAGCAGAAGGCAGCAGTGCTGCTGCTGGGGGAGGAAGAGACCCTGTGCTGCAGTGCAGCACGGGGAGCGGTATAACTCTTTTCTTCCGTGGCGTTTCGTCTGTTGCCCCTTTGCTGCTGCTGCTGCTGCTACTGCTGCTGCTGCTGCTGCTGAGCACCAGGGCTGTGCTGCAACAGGGGGAGTTGCTGCTGCTGCTCTGCGATTCGCAGCATTTGTATGAGAGGGAAACAGCAGCAACAACAGCAGCAAAAGCAAGAGGAAGGTCTTGCAGCCCAGCAATAACAATACAATAAAACAGCAGCAGCCAGAACAAAGCTACAAACAAGTAATCCCTTAGAGAGCTCCGCAGGTGCGTCGGCGCTGCATGCAAACAAAACACAAAAAATAAATAAATTAAAAAAAAACTAAAAACTAAAACTCTTCTCAAGTTCAACAAAAACAGCACCTACGGATGCTCCACAAGTTTCTGCAGCAGCAGCAGCAGCAGCAGCAAAAACAGCTGCTGCTGCTGCAGCTGTACAAGCTCGTGGAGCATCTGTCGGTAGCAGCAAGTTGCTGCTGCTGCTTCACGCATACAAGCATCAACCCACTAGCAGAGTTTCAGGCCTGCAATAGAGTGCAATAGGAATTAGGGTTTGGGGTTTAGGGTTTGAGGAGAGGGTTTAGGGTTTAGAGTTTCGATGCTACGTCTTTTAGTCGGTGGATCCTCGTTTAGGCTCGAGGGTTTGTGGTTAGTGGTTTAGGGTTTAGGGTAAAGCCTGAAGAATTTGACGATCCACCTGGGTGTATTTATTAAGGGTTTAGGGTTTAGGGTTTAGGGTTTAGGGTTTACGGTAAAGCCTGAAGAATTTGACGACCCATCTGGGTGTACTTGTACGCCACTGTTTGCATCTGCTTCCAAATGACTGAAGATAATGAGGCTCTGGAGATGAGGGGACGAGCCAAAGAGAAGAAGGCGGTAAACAAAGCGAAGAAATTGCTGCAGCAAGGGGGCCCCCCCTCCAGTAAAAGCGCAGGCGAAAACAAACAAAACCCAATGAAGACACCGGGTTCTTCATGCCGTACTCTTCAAACCCTAAGATCATAATAAATAAACAAATATATGCTTATATATATACATATATATATATATATATTCTATACGTGTATATATACATATATATATGCATGGATACATTTATATATCTACACGTATATGTATAGGTATATATATATACATATATATATATCTTATATACATATATATACATATATATAAATATATATATATATATATATATATACATATATATATTGGGTATATGTACGTATATTTACAGGCTCTACAGGTAAACAAATATGTAAAGAAATAAACAAATGTAAGAAAAAACAAACAAATATATCAAATTATCAAATACATACAAATATATATACGTATAAATAAATTTATATATATATATATAAAGGGATTAGGGATTAGAATTAGGGCTTAGGTATATGGATTGAGGTAATTAGGGTTTAGGGTTTAGGGTTTGCATACCCCTGACAGGCCTGAGGTATTTTCTTTCTTGTCTCTTTTTATTGTCTGGGTAAAGATGCGCCCAGAACTCCCCTTCACTCACCCAGCCTGATCCTGAACCCCAGCTCCAAGTCTGCTGCTGCTGCTGCTGCTGCTGCTGCTGCTGCACAGGGGCTGCTGCGCGTAAGAAGGAAGACAGGGGAATTATAACGCGGCCGTACAGCTGTCGTTCATCGAAGTTGGGTGCAGCAGCTTCTGAAGTCGCTATGTCTGTAGATGCTGCACGTTGTTGTTGCTGTTGTTGCTGCTGCTGCTGCTGTTGCTGTTGCTGCTGTTGCTGCTGCTGCAGGTGGTGCAGCTCCTGTAGCTGGTGGAGCTGCTGCAGCTGCTGCTGCAGCCGCGCAGCATCTCCCTCGTCATAAGCAGAACCCAGTTGCTGCTGCAGCTGCTGCAGCAGCAACTCCCTCTGCTGCAGCGAAGGTAAACATCCAGCAGCAGCAGCAGCAGACAGTCCGGACAAGTCCTCAAGCGGCGCGGAAGTGCTGCTGCTGCTGCTGCTGTTGCTGTTGTTGCCGCCCGCAGCAGCAGCAGCAGCAGCAGCTGCTGCTGCTGCTGCTTCTTTATTTGCTTTTAATATAATTTGTCTGCAGGGCCTTATACAAATTACCTCTAGAGAAATATCTGTCCACAGATCATGCACAGGAAATTCAAAGGAAGCATCAAAAGGCAATTCATTCATGCAATCGCTGCTGCTGCTGCTGCTGCTGCTGCTGCTGTTGCTGCTGCTGAGACGGACGGTGCGGCTGTGCTGCTGCTGATTCTCTACTGAAGCCCGCAGCATCCACGCCAGCTGCTGCTGATGCTTCTCTCGCTGCTGCTGCAGCGGGTCTCCACGCACCCCTTCAGCAGCAAACAGCAGCAAACAAGCGCCCGGCACTTCAATCTCTAAGCGTCCTACTGCAGCACGAGGAATAAATGGAGGCAGCAAGCTTGATGAAGCCCTGCGCTGCTGCTGCTGCTGTTGCTGTTGCTCCTGTTGCTGTTGCTGGCCTGCTTGGGCCCCTGCTGCTGCTGCTGCTGCTGCTGCTGCGATGGTTTCATCCGTGCTGCAGCCACTAGGCACCCTGCTGCTGCTGCTGCTGCTAATTCCCGTTGAATATCTCTGTCTGCTGCTGCTGCGTGTTGCCGCCCCCCCCACTGCCCCTGCCCCTGCTGCAGCAGCAGCAGCAGCAGCAGCAGCAGCAGGAGACTGAGGTTTTTGCGGAGGAAAGATTTCATCGAAAGCAGCACAAGGAGCTACATTTGCTTGTCTATAGAAGTACTTTGCATTAACAACTTTATTAATAATACGAGAGACCTGCCACTGCTGCATTTGCTGCAGACTGCTGAGGTTGCTGTCCCTCTGATTCGCAACAGCATCTAACACCGAGTCCATCATCTTCTCCCCCAGAGCATTTATCTTCGCGCTCAGCCACCCCGCCATCTTCTTAATGCTCCTGCTGCTGCTGCTGCTGATGCTGCTGATGCTGCTGCTGCTGATGCTGCTGCTGCTGATGCTGCTGATGATGCTGCTGTTGCTGCTGATGCTGCTGATGATGCTGCTGGTAATGATGATAATGATTATGCTGCTGAACCTGATCCTGCTGCTGCTGTTGCTGCTGCTGCTGCAAATGATTATGTTGCTGAACCTGATCCTGCTGCTTCTGCTGCTGCTGTTGCTGCTGTTGCTGTCCGAGCAGCTGCAGCAACACTGAGGCGCCTCCGCCGTTTGATATGTGAATATTAAAAAAGACGAAATAAATTCAAACAAAACCAAATAAGCAACTATGGATTTGCTGCTGCTTCTGCTGTTGCTGCTGCTGCTCTGCTGCTGCTCCTGTAGATGTTGCAGGTGCTGCAGTGGCTGCTGCAGTTGCTGCTGCTACTATTGAAAGCTGTTTTTACTGCTCCTGACGATTGTGTGCATGCGATGCGATTCTGCTGCTGCTGCTGCTGATGCCGCTGCTGCTCCTACTGCTGCTGTTGTTATTGTTGCGGCTGCTGCAGCAGTTGACTCAGAAGCTGCTGCTGCTGAGCATGCTCAGCTGCTGCTGCGGCAGCGCTCCAACTGTGTGTGAAATGCTGCTGCAGGCGTGTGCTGCAGCAGCAACACTTAAACTGCAAGCAGCAGCAGCAGCAGCAGCAGGTATACAGCCGAAGACTGAGGAGCTGCAGCTGCACCTGAAGAATGCTTGCTGAAGGCACTGCATCCGTTCAGCACCACCAGCAAAGCCAGCAGCAACCAGTGTAGCAGCAACAGCTGCTGCTGCTGCTACTGCAGCAACAGCCCCTAAATTCAGCTTAGGCCCGAGGCCTCTGCTGCAGCATCAGCAGATTGGAAGCTGTACATAGAGCGTTCAACGAAATGAGGAGAGCGCGTAGTTAGTTGCTGCTGCTGCTGTTGCTGTTGCTGTTGCTGCTGCTGCTGCTGCGCCTGTTAGTCAGGCATGTACAAGAAGATCAAAAGAAAGAGAGAAACCAAACTAATAACGAATTCAAAGAAGTGGAATGCGTAATGCTGTGCATACAAACAGCAGCAGCAGCAGCAGCAGCAGAGGAAGGTTGCTGCTGCAGCGTGCAGCACAGATAATCAAAGCGTAACGATTTGCTGTATTTTTCTTCCTTTTCTACAAAATAACAAATTAATTGAATTAAATTTAACTGCGGAAGTGCAGCGCCGTCATACAGACCCAAAGCAGCAGCAAACAACAGCAGCAGCAACAGCAGCAGCAGCACCAGCAGCAGCAGCACAGGCTTTAGCTACCAGAGCTGCTTTTGCAGCAAATGAGGCGTACATACACCACAAATATTAGAATATTAAATACAACAGAAAAGTTGAGGAGAAATTGAACATATTTATATAAAAATATATTACTGCTGCTGCTGCACACTAAGCCAGACAGCACGATGTATGTCTTTTTTCGTTTGCTGCTGCTGTCTGCTTCCTCTTTTATTACTTTATTTATTTATGTTAGTTGCTTCACTCATTTCATTAAACAATTTAATTAAACTAGTAAAGAAATAGACAAAATCCCTCCAGCCGCTGCCGACCCCCTAGAGACACCCAGAAGATAAGCTGTTGCTGCTGCTGCTGCTGCTGCTGCTACTGCAGTAACAGCGAGAATACCAGAAAGCGAGCCTCCTTCTCCTGGTGATGCTGCTGCTGCTGCAGTAGAGCCTCCTTCTGCTGCTGCTACTGCAGCAGATCCTGCTGCTATTGCTGCTCCAGCAGAAAACGTAGAGCGAATGCAGTGTCTCCTTACACTGCATTCGCTCTACGTTTTCTACTGCTGCTGATGCAGCAGCAGACAATGCAGCAGCAACTGTAGTGGGCAGCAGGAATATCGCACGAACAAGAACAGTAGCGCAAGCAGCAGCAACTGTAACAACAGCAGCAGCAACAGCAGCAGCAACAGCAGCAGTAACAGCACGATTTATCTCAGTGTCGTCGGTTTGCTTCTGCTTCCGTACTCATGAAATGTCTGTTTATTCTTCACTCTCTTAATTAATCTATTCTCATTGACTTCTTTTAGATGCATTTTCTCTGCCGGGTAATAACTATTAGTAGGAAGAGGTAGAAGAAAAAAGAATATATTTGTTTTTTTGTTGCTGCTTTCGTTGCTGCTCTCTCTATCTGCTGTAGGCTTCTTATATTTATTAGTTGCTATCTATAATACATAAAACGAATAATCCTCTAAGTAAAATGTAAAAACTAAAAAAACCAATCGGATAGATTGATCAAGGAAGCAAACACATATAAAGTGTATAAACATCACGTAAAAACAACAGATAATGCGATTAAATTAACAAATGAGTGAAACAAGGAAATGAGCAGATAAATATGGTGAAGCCATTTGAGTTGCTACGGGGTTCATATCATTCACTTGTTTACGTGTTTAAAAAGTAAATAAATAGAAGAAACTCTCAAACACTGACACGCAAGCAAACGACTAGCAGAGAAGAAGACAATCTTCATATAGAATAAGCAAGGAGTGCAGCAAAGAAAAACAAACACAGAAGAAATGCTGAAGAAAGAACCGGCTTTACTCTACACGAAGAACTTGTGCACTTGACATTGAGTGGATTTGTTTGTTTCTTTCGGTGTTTTGTTTTAATTAGTTACCTTTTGTTTTTATTAAGAGAAAAAAAAGAGTTTGTCTTTATAAAGAGACAAAAAGAGAACTCTGCTGCCTAATCATGAAATGCAACAGCACGGGCAGCAGCAACGAGCAAACCCTTCGGTTGTCTCTTTTTGCTTGTTTGGCTGTTTGCTCGTTTTTCTGTTTATTCATTTCTCTCTCTGTATGTTTGTTAGTTCGTGTTCGCTTAATTGCGAATTACCCTGTTTGCATGTCTCTCCATGTGCTTGTTTTGTTTGTTTTTCTGTCTGCACAAGCCATGTACGCTGTCATTACGCTGTCATTTGTCTGTTTGCTTCGCTTCCGTTATTGCACGGTGCGAAGCAAACAGAGTAAGGAGAAGAAAGAGAAAAGAAGAAGCAAGAGAAGAGAAGGAAAAGAAAAGAAGAGAGCGAAAAATAAGAAAAAGGAGAAGAAAAGGAATAGGGGAAAAGAAAGAGAAGGCAGAGAAAAGAAAAGGAAAGAGAAAAGAAGACAAAAGGAGGAGATATTTTCTCCTTAGTGCCACACGAGGCCCCAGCTGAATATAAGGCCAACAGCAGCAACAAAAAGAGCAAACGAAGAAGAAGGAGAGAAAGCAGACGCCTCCATTAAACTCTCCCAGACTTCTTCCCTGTGAAACATATAGGCAAACAAAAAACAAAAAGCAATAAATAAGCAAACAATCGAACATACAAACAGATTTAAGTAAACAGGCGAGGGGAATAAATCAAAAACAAACAGAGGAAATACATAAAGACACGGAGGAATGAATAACAAACAGAAATATATAGACAAACAAAAACAAACAATAAAAAGAAATAAGCAGGTCAAACAAACAGAACATAATACAGCAGATAAATAATCAAAAAAACAAACAATCCGCCCTTCCTGGAGCTAACGACAACTGCATCATTTTGCAGCATCTCTCGCATTGCATGCACTTGCACCCATTTTAACTTCTCCTTGTTCACGTTTTAGTGTTTGTTGTTTGTTGTTTATTGCTTATTGTTTACTTGTTATTGTCTGTTGTGTGTTTATTGCTGATTGTCTATTACTTAATTAGTGTTGTTTGTTGTCTATAGTTTGTCGTTGGTAATTGGTATTTAGCTGCCGATGCCCCTCTTTGCTCATTTCTAGATGATCATTTCTCGTTGCTCTTTGTTCTTCGTTCTTTGTTCAATGCTATTTATTGTTTATTTGCTGTTTGTTGTTTATTTGTTGTTTGTAGTTTGGTGTCGTTTGTTGCTCAGTGTTGTTTGTTATTTAGTGTTGTTTATTATTCATTGTGTGGTGCTCTTCGTGTTTGTTTGTTTGTTGTTCTTTGTGTGTCGTGTGTTGTTCATAGTTTTCTGTTGACTTTCCATTACTCTTTCTTCATTATTGTTGATTGATGTTCCGTGTTTCGTGTTTAATGAAATGTTTTAAATGAATGTGGATATCATGATAATGACATTTCTGCAGTCCATTTTCCTATTGATTTACAGTTACACACGATGACCATTCAGCTGTCTGTACAGCCCAGTCTGGTTTTATTGTGTTTTGTTCATTAGTGTTGTTCATTTTTGTTCGTTTTTAGTTTTTAGTGTTTAATGTTTTTTATTTCGTGTATCTCTCACGAGAATGGAGCTTCTCCAGACCAGTTTCCTCTTGGCTTGTAGTTACACACGACAATCGTACTGCCGTTTTCACAACCCACGGTGCGAGCGCAGCCAATGCCGGTGCTGGTTGACCACATCAATTGTGTAAAATGGCCGGTGTCCATATCGCAGTTCCCCCCAGGATACACCCCACTAAAAGAAAACAAAGAAACAAACAAGGCAACAAAAGAACCAATTCAGGGAGAAGCAAAGAAGGGATAGCAATAGCCAGCAAGGCATGCATATATTGCAATAGACACCACGCCAAAGAAAAAAACAAACAGGCAAATAAATAAACAAAAAGAAACGGCAAAAAATGAGTGAACAGCAAGGCGTGCATTTGAATAGATACCCCGCTAAGGGGAAAACACACACATAAACAAACAAACAATAAAACAAACAAAGAAAGAAAGGAAACCAAACGAAACGTATTGCAAGATAAACACCGCATGAATGAACAAACCAAACAAGCAAACAACGAGAACAAAACAAAAGAAAGAAGCAAACAATGAAATGCGCAGCAAGTTCGTTAGTTCGTCCCACAAAGAAAAAACGAACAAACGAACAAACAGCGAAAACCAAACAAAAAAAAGAAAGAACCGGAATATGTAGGCAGAAAATCTTTGAATATGCACAACGAGAAAGAAACAAAGCGAAGCAAACAAAGAAGGAAAAGAATGGACAGC